CTGATGTCAATGGGGAGCTCATTCCACCATTTAGGAGCCAGGATAGCAAACCCACGTGTTTTTGCTGATGGGAACTTGGGTCCCCCTCGCAGTGCGGGTGCAGCGAGCTGTTTGGTTGATGCAGAGCGGAGTGCACGTGCTGGGGTGTACAGTTTAACCATGTCCTGGATGTAGGAAGGGCCAAATCCATTCGCAGCATGGTACGCAAGTACCATTGTCTTGAAGTGGCATCTAGCAGTTACCGGAAGCCAGTGAAGGGAGCGGAGGAGCGGTGTGGTGTGGGAACATTTAGGAAGGTTGAAGACCAGACGAGCAGCTGCATTCTGGATGAGCTGCAGAGGTCGGATGTTACATGCAGGTAGACCAGCCAGGAGGGAGTTGCAGTAGTCTAGTAGGGATCTTTAACACAAAACAACACCAAAAGATGGAGGTGGGAGTGAAATAGCATGCCGCATATTTCTCTCAGATAGGATTCCATCATTTAATTGTTCAGGATTTCTTTTCGAGGGAACAAAATTACCCCCCTAGATCAGTGTTCCTCAAACTTTTTCATACCAAGGACCACTTAACCAATAAAAAAACACTCGCGGACCACCTAACTCCACAAATATAAAAAACACATGGTTTTTCTAGAACAGATTACAAATCGCCTGAAAATGGTACAAACAGGTGGCAACAGTGACGAAGGTGTTGCGCTGGGCTATATCATGCAATCGAAAGTGAAACTTAAGCTCGCTCCATTGCGGAGATATTCCCGCGAGAGTGCGGAAAACATAAATTTATTTATTTCAAATGTGAAATGTTACCAATATACTCACGGACCACTAGGGGGCGCTCACGGACCACCAGTGGTCCGCGGACCACACTTTGAGAAGCACTGCCCTAGATCATGTCCTCTACAAACCAACCGGACCGGGGATAAAAACTAGTACAAACCATGAAACGGATGCACACCGCTTTCACCAACATTTGCTCAGATTGATAACCAAATCATCCAATGACTGAAACCCTTCATCTGGTTGATATAGCGTAAAAAAAAAGTGCCTTAAAACTGGAAAAAATATATTACAACCACTGGCACAACGCTAAAGTTTGCACAAAAAGGGAAGATCCCAAGACCGCAGGAAGCGCTGAAGACTTTGAAGCTAGTACAAACTTTGAATAGCCCTTATTTAAATCATAGATCCTAAAAATAAAATTATAAATTCATACTCGGAAGCCATATTGCCTTTATGTTCCACTGAGAAACTTTCATAGGAATAAACTGTGCCACACTTACAACACTTTATCCATTACATTTCACACAACCAAATTAAACTGGTTGTGACCTTGATTAGAATTTGGTATCTCTCTAGGTTTGATAGTTGTTGGAAGCATTTGGGATATTTCACAAAATATATTACATTACATTACATTGCATTTAGCTGACGCTTTTATCCAAAGCGACTTACAATAAGTATATATAACTTAGGTTTAGTTGTTTGTTTAGACATTCTTAATGCAGAAATGTGACATATTCTACTTTTAAACTCTCTCAATGATGGCTACATCAAGGATCTTAAAGGCTTACAGTAGAAGAATAGAATAAAGAAATCACTGCTGGACGGCTGAGCGGACCATGCAGCCGACACCCCAGCTGTGAAAACCTCTAACCACATGAGTAAAAGATTCCTAAGAGTCCCGTTACTCCACTTATTGAATTTTTACAACCTGGTGGGCTGCCAGGCACTTGGCTGCTCCGACACGTTTCGTGCCATTGCCACTCCTCGGTCCAGAGAAACACGAGAGACAGACAGAAAGACAAGAGAGCGAGACAGCTGGCTGAATCATCCTGCTCACCGACAGCCCTCTGCTTAATGACCGCCATCTGCCTTTGGAAAAGATAATGGCACATGTTGCTGTGTGGCAGATGATTGTGTACCGGCGTGGAGAGACATGTTTATCACTAAAAACCACACACAGCCTGGCCTTCATCGCTGCTCTGTCAATGAGAAACCTGTAGTCTTGTGGTTTTGAAGTTGGAAGAAGTGAGGGTGGGACGGGGGGTTGATGAGAGCTCACACCTTCACACAGAACAAAGGTGCTATAGTTTCACTACTGTAAAGTGGTGGGAAAACAGCACTTGTGATATCACTGATGACACGGTTGTTGCCAACAATGAATTCCATTGGAGTAGCTCACGTCGGCGACTTGAAGCATAGTTTAGTCTGAGTCTGAGAACACGGGACTATAACACTCTTATCCCACCAACAAGGTCAGATATTTGTCAGCTACAGCTTATGAATTTTTAAAAATCCCTTGACTTGATGGTGCCCACAGCAATGACAAACAAACAACAAAATATTCCAACCTCTGTCGTCTTACTGTACAAATGACTGTAGTACATATTGGTGAATGCTGCTGTATTAATGATGTCTATTGAAGATGTATTAATATCAAAGCACTTTTATCTAGTGGCGTTACACGGTGTCCGGGCAGATAGCAATTACTTTGTGCTCTTGTTCTGTAAAAAATAAATATTTTCCTCTATTTTAAAAAGGTTCCTGAAATAAACTGCAGGCTAATAGTAAGGGACTTTATCCATGATCTAACAATTCTCCGATAATTAGTTTCCTTTTTTCTGATCATGTGTCCACATGTATTATCAAAGCCTGTTATGCACAATAGGCTTTCCTTCTAGTCTTTTGGCTAAGAGACGATTCTGGTCTTTTAAATAAAGTAACAATAGGCTACTTGTCGATCCAATGTGTTGGCATTTCTATTGTTTCTTGGCAAATAGAAATAAAAACCTAAATGTGAAAATAAATAATTGTTCCATTTCTTAGTTTTCCCGGGCTAAATATTCTCTGTATGAATTTAATTGTAAAACTCACTCTGTATTTTTCGAACACCATCAGTCAGTACTGATTAGGGCTGAACGATTAATCGATTTTAAATCGAAATTGCGATTTTAAATGACGCGATTATCAAATCACAAAGCCTGCGATTTTTTTTTTAACTTTACATTTATTTATTTTTGTTCTTCTTGTGTGTCAGTCATCCACACCAATCAGAAGTGCTGTGCTCCACATGTACCAGCCATTGTTAACAAATCAGAAGTGGCCCATGATAGAAGGTGATAGACAGATTGATCCAATCACCTGCCAAGTATCTTTGAAAGTGCCTGCCCTTTCCAAATGGCTTCCAATGGAGCTTTAGATGGTTTGGTGAAACAAAGCATCTGGGTCAGGTTAGTAATGCTCCATCACATGTTTCTATTACAGGGTGAATCTTAAACTGAAGCTTGACTTTAAAGCAACCCAACGGAAGTTTCATGTAAGTTTAGTTCTTTTGCTCGGGCTGCGGGGGTGCTAGAGACATTTTACAATAAACTTGCGTTGGGTCGCTTCAAAACAAATATCGCAAATCCAATTGCAATCGCAATATTTGTCAGAAAAATCGCAATTAGATTTTTTCCCAAAATCGTGCAGCCCTAGTACTGATCGCTGTGTAACACGGCCCGTCCACACGGCGGCGTGCGTTGAAGCTTCAACGCGTCTGCCCATTCACTTTGAATGGGGTGACGTCACGCTTTGCCGAACTGCATTGTGGTTCCTTCGCTTCGCTCGTGTTGCTCGCTTCAAAAGTTGAGCAATGTTCACATTTTGAAGCTTCGACGGAAGCGTCAGCCAATCAAATCATATGCCAGTACAAGTTCTAGACAATCAAACCGAGTGCTTGTGTGTCCGGGGCGGGAGATTCATGTGATTGGTTGTTGGTCGAGTTTCAGACACGCCCACCGGTAAGCTTCAACGCACACCGCCATGTGGACGCTGCGTTACTGTTGCCTTTTAAGCTATTACCTATTGCTACATGACTTTCAATAACGTACTTCTTCAAGAATATATATAATTTGTTATACCTTCCTCATATAAAATGTTAACTTGAACATTTGGCACTGATTGCATTCTTGAACAATACCTGATTCAGAGTGTGCCTAGTGCGATAAAACCATCCAGGACTGACTGCCTCGTAGGAATCATACGGATTTATAGTTCAGTGTTTAGCTCAGCCAGTGCCGTGCAACACTTTAATTATATACGCTAAAGTCTTTACATTCTTTTATTCACCTTGTGAGAGGCAACAGCAGCTAACAGATAGTTTGAAAACTGCTTTGATAGATCCTAAGACGTGTCCACGGTTACTGAAAAAATATATCACTGAGCCTTTCTTGCTAAAGCATTAAGCACAGTTGTCAACAAAGATGGATTTACTGGAGAATAGGCAGATGAAGGATCTTGTAAAAAGGCACAAAACAAACACGGGGAACTGGCAACAACCACGCAGAAGTACAAGAGACGGAAAAGCCACACATTAATCTGTCCCATTCAAAAAACAGTTAATACATGTAATTTTCTAATGTAAATTTTCTTTTTCACGTACATCGTGTGCCGTGTTCAGGAACTCAAATTACCGGTCATAAATCAGCTACAAGCTAACTAGCATAAACTGCTACATCATGTTGTTTAATACTTCTTGAAACAGTGCTTAAGTAATACAACTTTGAATATTATAAAGATTATAATTAATGTGTTGCCTTTGTTTAACGTGATATAGTCCCAACAACGAGTAAGATCTGTCTGTTTTGTATTATGCTTTATATTATGGCCAATGGTCGGAACAAGGTAAACAATTCAGTTCAAGCTCTGCAAATGTTATTTCTCACATTTTATAGTTTAATCAGAGACACACAGTCCCACCACAAATGTATCTTGAAAATATTGTCTGTTTTGTTAAAGATTGATAAACAGATTCAATATGGATAATGTTAATTTGTACTTGCACTGCTATTTGGAAATGCATCTAGGAATTAAAATACAGTCTGCCATTGTCTTATATGCTCTTATACTCATGATACTTAGTAATACTTGCAATCTCCGAGTTAGGCTAGGCAAGAGATAGCAGACAACATGTATTGCTTTAACAGGGACAAAACAAAAGTGACCTTTTCTACTTCTTACCGTGCCGCTAACCCTGACATCGAAAAGCCGCCCCCAGTCATCTTCATGGCTGTCCACCATCATCATACTATCGTCTACCTCCAGGAACCACTCCGCCTGCAGGTCAACCTTCACCTCCTCCCCCATGGAGTGCATCCCTACGGCGGGGAACAGCCCCTCCGCAGACACGGGAACCTCCACTGAACCCACCTGCAGAGGTCAGGGATGCATGGTAACAGTGGGTGAAGAGAAAGAAAGACACGACGCTAATACATACTGACAGTTCCTGTTTGAAACAGAACATTACAGAATGTCCTCGTGTTTTAAAACACCTACCTCTTTGCCGTTTTTGGTGAAAAAGACTGTTGTAAAACCTGCTTCAATGTTCTCTGAGTGTATTCCACAGCCGATGCGGTCACCACGAGCACACTTTGGCCCAAACTGCTGACCGACAGGGTTTCCATTGTATAACCTAGGAAGAACAAAAATATATGAATCTTCACAATATAAAAAAAGCTAGCTACTGCAAATATATAACCATTCAATCATTATTATGTGTATAAATAAACAGCAATAACTGTAATGTATGAGCTTTCTGCATGTGTTGTCTTCTGCAAGTTTATGATGCCAGTAATGTTTATCATTTATCAAGCAACAATGTAAAAACTCACTGCTTCCAGCTCCTCAATTATGAGGATTTGCTGCTTTCTTTGTCTTTGAACTATTGGTCAGACAAAGCAAAACATTTAAAGAGGTCACCTTGAGCTCTAAATCTACAGACAAAGTAAGTTTATTATGAGAGTAGTTGTTAGTTGAAGCCCTATGAACAATAATTAGGTGTGCAAGGTTAAGAGCCATTAGGACAAGATTAGATAAATGTGACCGAATAGTTAAGTGATTTCTTTTGTTTATAATGCAAAGAAAAGAGCTATGGAGAATCATATAGGGAATGAATGCTGTAGTTATGTGTGGATGAAGAACCGGCAAAAGCCACAATCCCGTTTCTCCATCCATGCAGGAAACCGAAGCTGAACTGAAGTTAATGGATGGCTGTGGGCTGGTGGTTTGACTTACTTGCCGTTGTCAGCGTGGTAAGCTACAGAGTATGGCAGCCAGCCAGGCTGGTGGTCCAGTCTGTAGAATTTAGGCACCAGGCCCACAGCGATGGTCCCCCTCACCCCTGTGTCCACTAATGTCACCTACACACACACACACACACACACACACACACACACACACAACACTGTAACTCCAATACTTTTCATTTGATACAGTCAAATCCTTAATTAGATCCTGAATTAAAACTACAACACTGATTTGTGTCTTTATGTATCACTTCGGTTTGATATTTAAAGTCTTTAAATCAGGCAACACTATTATCATTTGTTTCATACCACTTTTACCATTAGATTTAAGTGGTGGCTACGTAACATTGTTTTCCGACTAAGGATGTTAAGTTCAAAAGTGAAAAATGTATTGAAAAGTTAAGGACAATAGTTTTAGTCCAACAAAATATTTTTGCTTCTATCAATATTTGTTGGCATTAAGCCTACAAAAACAAAATGGTTTACAGTGGTTAAAAAACGTTTTGCTCTTCCGCCCTCAATATATTTTCACAACCTGCTTCGGTTTCTGGTGTCGTTAGTGTATTTATGGTCCAAAAAAGCTGCAATATATAATTCAATGTTCCTTTTTTAATGTTTAATTCATTCCAATACAATCATGGTGTGTATACTGTGATATTTCTGGCCACAAAATTGGTAGCATGAACATTTTATACCGGCCCATCGTTAGTCCAACGCCCCTGTGGCAGTAGGAGAAAATGTCACAACCGCCTCCGCCCCTCAGCTAGTTAAACCCAATCAGAACAAAATGACACACAATACCTAAGCAGAATTAGGTGAAAGGTAATGCCGGCGAATACAGGAGAACGGCCCCATGGGGAGTGAGCTGCATTTCCTTCCTTTTCCCGCTGACCTCTCCAAGTCATTTCTCCCCCCTCTGTATCATTCCTTGCATGTTTTTCTCCCCTTCCCCACATATCTGCCTCCCTCATTCTCTACCTCCCTCTTCAGCTCAGACCCCCAAATCGCTTCTCCTGCATGACGGCACATGTTAAACCAAACGGCTTGGGTTTCTCTGGCTACGAATTCCAGGGCCAATTCCTTTTCAGTCTGGCACTTTTTAAAGGACAATACTAATACTACACTCTTGGCCTCGGCAGGTCATTACTTCCACATGTAAACTGTTAAAATATCATTTTTGTCTGTGAAGGCCGTGAGTAAATGTTACAGCGCAGGAGTTTGCACACTGATGAGCCGTTATGTCGAAATACATTTTCCAATAAATCTATTAAAACAAGTGGAATGCTTCAGATGTTCAGCTCAACTTGGAGAAAACAGCTTGTGATAACTGGAGAAAGAGCAGCAGTAGTGACAGAGGTAAGATGGATTCCTTGTGAAAGCAGAACGAGGTGAAACACGAGGATTGCAGTGACGCATACGTCCACATAGGCCTGCCCTTTATCAGAGGAAACGCTCCCAAATCTTCGAGATATCGGGGAAGCTGACAGCGTGTGCGTCACAAGGTGGAGAATAATGTAGCATCAAACTCAGGGTAATGACCACGCTTAAATCCCATTGTTTAAATGTCAGAGCGATCCATCAGGTTGCAAATGGGATTCTCGTTTCCATATAAATATTGTTATCGTTCAAATATCCTTTTTAGATAGGAGACGAAGTGATTCTCAGGTCAGAGTGATTGACATTGCATTTGATAGAAATGTCACATCTGGCACATATCTGGGAAACATGAAGGCCAGAAGTTAAACAATGTCAAAGCACATTGTTAGCCTGCCTTACTCAAGAAGATCTGAAATGTTTCAACGGATGCCGGAAGTGGTGCTACATAACACACTGCAGCCCTTTAGCAGGTTATTTATGACCAAACTTTTGCAACTTTCCTAAACCACCCAAAAACTTGAAATATACTCTTGTAGGGCTGCACAATACAGTGGGGCAAAAAAGTATTTAGTCAGCCACCAATTGTGCAAGTTCTCCCACTTAAAAAGGAGAGGCCTGTAATTTTCACCCTAGGTATACCTCAACTATGAGAGACAAAATGAGAAGAAAATAAAATCCAGAAAATCACATTGTCTGATTTTTAAAGAATTAATTTGCAAATGATGGTGGAAAATAAGTATTTGGTCAATAACAAAAGTTCATCTCAATACTTTGTTATTTACCCTTTGTTGGCAATGACAGAGGTCAAACGTTTTCTGTAAGTCTTCACAAGGTGTTCACACACTGTTGCTGGTATTTTGGCCCATTCCTCCATGCAGATCTCCTCTAGAGCAGTGATGTTTTGGGGCTGTCGCTGGGTAACACGGACTTTCAACTCCCTCCAAATATTTTCTATGGGGTTGAGATCTGGAGACTGGCTAGGCCACTCCAGGACCTTGAAATGCTTCTTACGAAGCCACTCCTTCGTTGCCCGGGCGGTGTGTTTGGGATCATTGTCATGCTGAAAGACCCAGCCACGTTTCATCTTCAATGCCCTTGCTGATGGAAGGAGGTTGTCACTCAAAATCTCACGATACATGGCCCCATTCATTCTTTCCTTTACACGGATCAGTCGTCCTGGTCCCTTTGCAGAAAAACAGCCCCAAAGCATGATGTTTCCACCCCCATGTTTCACAGTAGGTATGGTGTTCTTTGGATGCACCTCAGCATTCTTTCTCCTCCAAACACGTCTAGTTGAGTTTTTACCAAAAAGTTCTATTTTGGTTTCTTCTGACCATATGACATTCTCCCAATCCTCTTCTGGATCATCTAAATGCTCTCTAGCATACTTCAGACGGGCCTGGACATGTACTGGCTTAAGCAGAGGGACACGTCTGGCACTGCAGGATTTGAGTCCCTGGCGGCGTAGTGTGTTACTGATGGTAGCCTTTGTTACTTTGGTCCCAGCTCTCTGCAGGTCATTGACTAGGTCCCCCCGTGTGGTTCTGGGATTTTTGCTTACCGTTCTTGTGATCATTTTGACCCCACGGGGTGAGATCTTGCGTGGAGCCCCAGATCGAGGGAGATTATCAGTGGTCTTGTATGTCTTCCATTTTCTAATAATTGCTCCCACAGTTGATTTCTTCACACCAAGCTGCTTACCTATTGCAGATTCAGTCTTCCCAGCCTGGTGCAGGTCTACCATTTTGTTTCTGGTGTCCTTTGACAGCTCTTTGGTCTTGGCCATAGTGGAGTTTGGAGTGTGACTGTTTGAGGTTGTGGACAGGTGTCTTTTATACTGATAACGAGTTCAAACAGGTGCCATTAATACAGTTAACAAGTGGAGGACAGAGGAGGCTCTTAAAGAAGAAGTTACAGGTCTGTGAGAGCCAGACATCTTGTTTGTTTGTAGGTGACCAAATACTTATTTTACCGAGGAATTTACCAATTAATTCATTAAAAATCCTACAATGTGATTTCCTGGATTCTTTCCCCCCATTCTGTCTCTCATAGTTGAAGTGTACCCAGGATGAAAATTACAGGCCTCTCTCATCTTTTTAAGTGGGAGAACTTGCACAATTGGTGGCTGACTAAATACTTTTTTGCCCCACTGTATATCGAAATGTAATCGAGATCCTGATAAGGGTTGGTGCAATACTCAAATCGCAGAAGGTGCAATATTTCTTCCATTCAAAATATGTGTTAATATTACTCAGCAATGTGATGCTACACAGAAATCCTGTGCTACACATCTTACTCCTACTCATTTCAAACCCTGCTTTAATCGCTTTGTTATTGAACAATTGGACAACATGAGAAACAAAAAAGCTGCAAAAACCTTCAAACATTTCAAAAGAAAGACATTTAATCTGATTTCTGAAAAGGACATTGATGAATTGTGTAACCAATTGTTTTTTATGGCAATTGTTGTTAAACCGCTTAACCCTGTTGTTTCAGATCCTCATAAAAAACCTAAAATAATAAATACATCTTTCAATGATAATGAGGATAATGACACAAAAACAATCAATCCCTCTAACAATGTGATTCATATTGCAGTTGCGGTATCAGTCAGATTAGTTGCTTTTTCCACATTGTACAACCCTACTCTCCTGAATGAGTGGAAGTTGTTATGACAGCCAGATTTTCTTAATACATGTCCGATAGTTTCTCCTGCTGCCAGTCTGCCTGCCTGCCTGCCTGCTGGAAAACACTGTTAGACTAATCTCACTCAAAGATTACTAACCCACACCCTATCCCTCATTCCAATGCAGCTCGGACATTCTTGAGGTAGTGGTTTTGCACTGGTGAACGTGGACTGTTGGGGGGCACTCAGAATTTAATATGAAGTTGAGAAAATTGTCAGCGATGGGATTCCAGCGGATACAATTGCTGGCTTGATGGTAAAGCAATCTTGAGCACACAAAGGGACGACGGTGTGTGGTAATGATATCATATCACATATCAGATCCCCCCCCACCCAAACATTTCAGAATGAATGATTGTGCAAAGGACAAACATTCAAATTATGTTCGAATGATTACCATAAAGCTAGAAAAAAAAGTAGATACAGTTAAAGATAGCAGTTGGACAAATTAATCCTGGGAGAGGTCTCGCAACTCGATCGGAGCTCAGTTTAAATAACAATGCCAGATATTGACTTACAGCACTATAAATGAGCCTTACCTCAAAATAGCAATTTCCCTTTGATAAAGGATGGCCAGCCACATAGCAACCCACCTCCTCAGAGTTCCCTTGGTAACTAAAGAGAAGAAATGACAGGTTAACAATAGGTGACTTCTCATAGTTCCGACTGCAGGTGTATAATCAGAAACACAAGTACAACCTCGTCTTTGGAAGGAAATACAGTGGAGACACTATTAGAGTAATAAGATGCACAAGACGAGCAACAGATATCAGACTACAATATGAACCCAAAGCTTCAAATGAAAAGACACTTTAGAGGCTGCTCAGACAGATGATTAAAGGAAAACAGATCAAACGACATGATGCGCATGATTTGTATTTGCTGTTACCGTTGTATTAGTCTCACACAGCCAGACCTATCTCATGCTCTTCATTATTATTATGAAAGTGAGTCTGCTTACATCCAAGTAGTCAGCCTACTGTTTGATAAGATATACATATCCTCCACTGCTAAATAATAACTGAAGGGATGTTTTGTTAAGAAAGGGGAAACTGAAGATGTGCAAGGGCAATTCAGTGTTTAGCAGCTGAATTGAATGCTAACATATTTAGATGTTTTACTGTATGGTAGGTATGTGACAAACCTGATGCTAACTGAATGTAGGAGCCAACATGTGTGATAAGCCTGTGGAGCTCATTATGGGATTGTTTGGACAGGTCATCATCTGTGCTATAACTAACTAACACTTGTATGACGGGATTTAGACAGAGGGTAAGCAGGAATCCATTTTTTCTGTATACATTTACTTCAAAGTTTTTGATTTTAAAAACAGTATAATAGCCAACGGGACTTCAGACTTGATTTGAATCAAATTAGCTTCAAATTTAGCAGCTTACTTATTCGATCTATTTATGGTTAGTGGTTGCTACACTAAAAAAACTAAAATGTTTGAGAAAATGTTGTGTATTTTATGTTATGCTGACTTAGAGACAGGCCACCATTTCAATTGGTTCTGAGGTTACCAGTAGACCTGTTCGGGTTTATTAATGTGAAATTGCAAAACAAATGCTAACATATATGTGTATATATATGTTCCTGTTTTCTCTATTCTACTAGTTGTAAGTCAGTGAAATAAACACCATACTAATTTCTTAAATACAAACATTAAAAGCTTTAAGAAGGGTACAAAGCTAATGTGTAAGTTCCTCACAGGCTAAATAGCTCTGGATCTTAGGTTTGATCCGTCATAGCAGCACAAATACTGTCCTAGTTAGGTGGATTCTATATATATATATTGTAAAAGGAATATTTTTATCTTGGCATCCCTACAGGTAGAATATTTTAGAGCAACAAGTTGAAGCTTAGAAACGTGCTGAACATTCAGGATTATCTTTACAGCACCAGCTTCTGAGTCCTTTTTATTCTTAAAGGAATGAAAACACTTGACGAACAAGTACATTTATACAATCAGGGAACAGATTAAGCAGAGCCCCATTATCACTTCAGTTTGAGAACAGGCTGACCTGAGTGTCTCTCCATCCTTCTGTATCCTCATGTAGCGTTCCTGTGCAGGGCGCCCATCCCCGATACCTCGGATTCGACGCCTCAGATTCAGGAGGCATCTGTGGTGGAGTACGTTGATGTCATCCATCTGAATCGTGAAAAAATGGTGGGTAAAATAAGGGAAAATGAACACAAGTTCAGCAGGCTGTGTAGAATGGGAGAAATACACAACTAAAAGTTAAACTACAATCGCAGCACCAATGAAATGTACCATTTAACACATTTTCTCAAAGCATGTGCTCCTTTTTGTATCAGGATGTGGCGCCGATGAGGGCTCAGAGGTGAATTATCAACAGTTGTAATTGTATTGATTTTACATTGATACAAATGTAAAATCTCTTGACACTGGGCTTTTTATCTTTTTCTCACAATGTAAACATACAGATGAGTTTCTGCTTACCATGGACAGTTGGACACTGATCGTTCTTGTAGTAAAGTTTCCATTTCACTTATAGTTTAAGGGTGTTCAGTAATACTGTAGTAACCCAAAGAACCCTGAAAGTCATTTCATAAGACACAACTCATACTGTAGGTACTAGAGTCAACTAAATCTGTTGGGTGTGAAACAAATACAGCTACATATGGAGTCAATTCAAATGAATTTAATTCAAATGTATTTCCTTTTTGTGTTTGTTATTAAACATTGCCTTGCTCTTGTAGTTGAAATGGTTAACCAGTTGCAAGTGCCATTATGTAAACAAAACGTTAAATACTAACTAAAACAATTAGAACAGGTGGTTTCAGTTTCTAATCGTGTGCCAATGAAACATCAGTGTGCACGAAAAACCAGGTGAACACACACACACACTGAACTGCCATAATCAATATGTTTTTTAAGATGCAATGATCGTTTTTTCAAATATTGACAATGACCAAACACTACGAGACAAAATAACTATTAAACATACGAAGAAATTGTAGTTTTCAGTTTGCTTTGGGATGCATTGAGGGCACAGTAAAACACGTCAAAAACGTCCACACAATTACCCAGTGTCTCTTAAAACAACGTTCAGAGATGTTCCGATAGTAAAACAAAAGACGTTTAAACTGACAGCAACGAGAGGAAGGTGGGCGTGCCAATGTTTACATCTAAGCTGCCAAGCTAGAAACCATGCTAACGATAAAGCTAGTTTAGCATGACTCGTTGGGCAGGCATTTATAATGAAAACTGTTTATAGCCTTGTGTTTATTACATAGCTTAAGATAATAATCCTTTCCTCAGTTGGTTATAAGGGGTTAAAATACTCGTAAAGCTAAAAAAGCATTAGCAGCGTTAGCAGCTAACGTCGTGTAGCTTCTTTGCTCTTTAGCTCAGGTTCGTTGCTTAGCAAAGAGAACGACTGTTCCTAAAAGTGCAGCGTAGAACAATACTTTATTATAGGTGTCATTATCGATATGTCAGTCACTTACCGGTTAACTTGGGGACAAATACGACAGAAACTCACTTTTATGTCCATCAGCTATCCTTAGCTCCTCATAAAAACTTTGGAAACTGGAGTTCGGCGCTTGCCTGTGACGTCACGATCATTAATGGAACAGCCAATCACAGTGAGGATTGAGAAATGGTGACAATCTTTCAGCCAATCCTGTCTCTCTGTTTCTCTGCGTGTGTGTCTGTTTTTGTGTGTGTCATATTTTGACATTCGGGTCTTATTTGACAAACTTAACCAATTTAAACAATTGTGAAAATAATGAGTCGCAACGTGACGATTTTAAAAACAAACCAACACCGAGTTTTTCCACCTTCTGCTTACAGTGTGTTTCATGCAGTGCTGGTAAAAAGTAACAATACCGCAGGTTGAAAATACTCAGATACAGGTAAGACTCGTTAAAGTTCTAAGTATAAGTACAAAATTGTTCCTTTCAAAATATCAAGATTAGATCTGTGGTCAAAGCTTTCATATTTTATATCTGTTTTAATGTCTTCATATTGTGTTTTATGGTATCAGATGGAAGTCTTGCAGTTTTCTAGGAGTTTGCTCCTCTCAGGGACAAGATGGCCCTTCACCAAGCTGCCATCTCCAAACAAGGAGTCACAAGGGGTGAGAGATATTGCCAAAATCATATATCATGATATATGTAACTGTATATCACAATACTTGTAACTGTATATCACAATACTTGTAGGCTATATCAGGATACAGTTATTGTTGGTTGTGTTCTTTGGAAGGATTGCACCCTTTACCTTCTGTCTAATGGAAGAAGCTCATTTGCCCTCAACACAGGATTCACAGGATGTCATTTTCATTACAATTAAGTACTAATGTCCTTATCCTAAACTGAAGTATTACCAGAAAGTCATGGAGATACTACTCTTCAGGGCAGAGAAGCGTTCAACCACAATGTTTTGAGTGGATTCTTGTAGTTGTATTGAAGTTGGTGAAGAGAGACTTTGAGGCAGCTGGCTGGGAAAGACCTGAGCCATGGAGGCAGAGAGAATGACAAAACTGTGTAGTTGTAGGAGCAAAAATGAATACACCCAAGTGTAGAGTGGAAAAGAGAGCCCCCGTTGGTCTGGCGTGTGTCTTGGAACATTCTCCGGATATGTGGAAACGGGCTAACTTGCACGCTGATGGCAACACAAGACGGCAGGTGATTTCTGCCCTCCTTGCCAAGACTAATCAGAACAACAGGCTGCTGATGGCAGAGCAGATGATTGGCCTCATGTAGCCCTGCATTCCAGTGGGAAGTACAGACCAGTGGGTATGTCTTTACTGTACTACTGCAAATCATATAGGGCCAGGCAACTGCTCACAGCACAAAAAACAAGTCCCATAGTTTAGATCAATACCCAAATGATGTTCATGTTTCAAGTGAATTACTAATTTGGTGTAATGTCCATGATGTGCATCTGTCTACGTAGCGCCTTTCGCAGCAATGCAGTTGTCAGATAACACAGGAGACAATGAGACTTTAGATAAGAGAGGAATCCTCAACACTCCCAATGATGGTCATGGTCAGATCCTTGAACCACATTAATTTTTAACTCATTCTTGCAGTGCCATAATGTGCCGTTTCATAAATAGAGCGTAAGTACTCAAGTGCAAATGTAGAACAACGACAAAAATGCGTTGCTTTAATAGAGTTTCTCGTTTTATAGAGGTTATATAGAGGGCTTTTAAACAAAATCACTCAAAATCTTGCATACATAATTCCTGCAAAGTTGCTTTTGGTTAAATAATAGTTAGCAAATCCTAACTGAGTGGAGGAATTATTAGGAGTTTGACTCCGGCTGGTCAATGTGCATTCCTGCAAAAGTGAGCCCTCCTCCTCCTCCTCCTCCTCCTCCTCCTCCTCCTCCTAATTATCCAGATGATTTCTCTTCCAATTCAAACATTTGCTGAGCAAAGTACTTCGCTGTTCTCAAACTCCAATATGTAATATCGTCCATGAAGTCAGTTAATATCTGATAGTTGTTAGTAGAAGTTTATTTAAAAATATAAAAGCGCTGTAGAGGCAATGCTTTACATACCTGACTCAGCAGGGATTTGATAATGCTGAGGCTCAGTTTTAGTTAGTGTATGAAACATAAAGTCTTATCTTACACTTCAGTTTTGGAATATTCTAACATTTGGAAGAAGCACATTTAGGAGATCAGACTGTGGTGGCATTTGCATCCATCAAATGTGGATAAAGAATGAAACCATTCAGCTGTCTTTGTGGTATTTTATTTCTTGTAAGAAAGTCCAGTCAGTCGTACAGAGAGCATCCGAGTGAACGTTACAAGCTTGGCAATACTGAAAGGAGCCTTCTGGAAGTCATGGAGGCAGCATCAGGATGTTCTCAGTTCACAGAAGTCGAAGGTCATACTGTCGGTGCAAATAGATTTTAACTAACAACATTGCAACAAATCTTCTTAATAAGGAGTTTTCCCAAGCTAAGCAAAGACGTGAAAGCCAATAAATTAACATTAGAAAGTAAGAATCACACAATGATAATATTAAAGTTAGTGACTAAAATACTTTTCTGTTACAAGACTTTAAATCTTTACAGATGTATTTTGCATATGACTCATTACTTCAACAGTCTCTGAACTTTGATATGTGTTTCAGATTTGACAGAAAGACAGAGTTTCTCAGATGGAGCATTCGTGTTCTTCCAGGAAATATTCTCCACATAATCACATCGGGAGAAACCACGCAGCTGTGCATGTAATGTAGCAAATGGCATTGCAGTGGCGAGGCTGATGGAGGCACGTGTACATTTGTATTTGTTACCATGGCAAATATGATTCCAGAAAGGTCTCTGACACTGGGAAGAAAGTGCAAAAAGCAGAACATCACTACTTCTGATTCATCATCTGTAACGTTCAGAATGAGCGGAAGAAGACGGGTTGGATGTATGTGTTAGTATATAACAGGAAAGGGTGGAGTGATTTTGATAATTTCTGAAAGGAACATAATCCACCCCCCACTTGCTCTCTCTCTCTCCTTCCCTGCCACCTCCCTCTCTCTCTCTCCCCTTTTCTCTCTCTCTCTCTGAGTCCCAGCCCCTGAAGGTGTCATAACTGTGCTCTCTCTCTCTCCCTCTCTCACTCACTCTCTATCACCGCCTTTCAGATCTTTAAAAGCTGGTGCTTTGCTGTCTCTCTCTCGATCTCCATTTGTCTCCTCTGGCACTGCAGGGGACTCAACCGGCAAAGCACCAAGGAGAGCTACTGTATAGAAACGGGGAGGAAGACTGAGGAAAGGGGAGAGAAAAGGGAGAGAGACTAAGGGAGAAATATACATCCAGAAATAGCATCATCCACATTTAACTGACAGAGAGTGACAGAGTGGAGAACCTGAGACCTGGACACAAAATGCCTTTCCTTTCTTACTTAACAACCGTTGTTTTGTTGCTGATTGCTCACTGCGGATCATGGACCGGGGCAAACCGCTTGGGCCCCTTCAAGGTCTGTCCCTCCTGCAGGGATCCACTGGGGGCAGGTCGCCCCCCCAGAGACCATAATGTTGCCGGCAGCACGTCAGTGTTGGCCCAGGGAGAGCCCTGTGGTGTGTACACCCTGAGCTGTGCCAAGGGGCTCCGCTGTGTTCCCCCACCAAGGGAGCACAGCCCCCTCCAGGCTCTGTTGCAGGGAAGAGGCATTTGCGCCAAGCACAGCAGGACTAGTCCCACTGAGAGGCCCCACCCCGCAGGTAAGATACTGTATACACACGTGCATGAAATCACGTATGCACACGTACATGCATGCACCTACAGATGCACTCAGACCTGCGTGGACACTGCAGGTGGGCTGGACAAGTGCACATCCACCACAGAGTAATGTTTTTACAGAGTGTCTCCTGTATTGCTGTGAATTGCATGTGATGCTGTGTCACTTACCAACAAAAATAAAGGCCAAATAGTGTGTGACATTTAAGCCTGGATGCATTTTATGCACCACAGATGAATTTGAAGTCCTCAAGCATCTAATACTGTTAGACTGTGAACAAATGTAATTTGTCCTTCCGATTGTAGAAGATCAGAAATGATGGCAAATCACATAAAACAAGGATCTCAAATGTAATCTCAGATTGCTGCAACAGTGTATACGTGAAAATATCCCTGCATTGATAAAAAATGTTATACATTTAGTCCATTTCAATTCATTTGAAACGATCTGCCCTACAAGTCAGCCTCTCTGTAGAGAATTAAGAACAAATGTGAAACTGTCAGTGTCACCTACATCAAGCTGCTTTTTATTGCAGTGATCTCCATCTACTGTTCAAACTGAGATACTGCGATGAACTATCTGAAAAGGAAGCATACTGATGGAAATTAGGTCTCTCATTGAATGGCCACACCAGATAGATCCCTTTGAGTGACTGCTCAGTGATACAAAGATATACACCAATAAGGGCAGCTTATATTGTAAAATGTGGTTGTGGTTTGATGTTATCGGCTACGTTGGTGTAATGTCACATTCTCATGCCGGTGTGTCGTTTGCTCTCAGGTCCCCATCCCTCACACAGTGGTGACATTGAAAAAGTAAGTTCCTGCTTTTGATTTACAGTCTTTCACGAGTGAAGCTCATGGAGCTTCACCTAAATGGTCAAAAATCTGAGACGTCAAAAGCATTTTTACCAAACATTATTGTGTTAAACACATCAGATGTGATACAGAGGGCTGTATATTGAGCTGCATTGTGTTATAAAGAGTTATTACCATGGATTCTTTGTCGTTTAGGGTGTTGCAGTGGCATGTACACACACTGCCCTGAAGCCATGCATTATGGTGCATGATGTGTGTGCTGCTATGCGGCAGAACTAATTGAGCATGATGTGAATCAGGAAAGTTTCAAGTCGGCCGCTGCCGCCTCAGATTTTACACTTTGCAATTCGGGTGATCTCCAGCATTTGAACTAATGCATAGTATGTATAATATGGATGACAAAAATCACATAATTGATAAAGAGGACACAGATTCATTTCCGAAAGTGACAGCAAGACGCACTTCAAACCATCCACTGACCTGAAAAGCCAAAGCATTGTGTAACAATATGGTTATATAATGTTACACAATATGTGACATCTGATATACATATTCTCTGCTTCTGGCTGTAATGCTGCGACACTGTGGCAAATCCTTTGTGATTCATATCGACATTTGTTGTGATCAAAGAGGATTTCTGACAACACAATCAGCTGAGGGGAAACAGCAGCTTGCCACTGCCACTCTTTAGATGAACATGTCTTTGCTTCTGGTTATGTTAGTCACACTCTGCGTTGCTGTTTTCAGGCACCCTGCCGCAAGCTGCTGAATCTTGTCCTGAGGGGTCTGGAGCTGACAATCTTCCAGTCTGACCGTGACATCTATATACCCAACTGTGACACCCGTGGCTTCTACAGGAAAAAGCAGGTAGACTGTCACACACACCTGTAACTTTATTGGCTCTTATGTGATCTGAAAATGTGTCTTTGCTGGTGTGTAACTGTGTGTATGTGTGTATTTCTGAGAGCTGCACCCCACTGCAGCTTTCTTTTCGGTGCATTCAGAGATTTGTCTGTGACCACAGGAGCTGAGAATATGTGACACTTCATCCTCTGAGCCTCTCAGTACTGCGCTATGATGACATATCATTTTCTCTCTCTTCCTCTCTCACCACCTTTTCTCCCACTCCCCTCCTTCCCCTTTCAAAATATCCCTCTGTCTTTTAACCCCACACAGTGCCGCTCCTCCAAGGGCATGCAGCGTGGCCACTGTTGGTGCGTGGATGAACTCGGCACGCCTGTGCCCTCACGTGCCAGCGAAGATGGCACTTTACCATGCGATGGGGAGTGAGGCATGAGTCTGTCCAATTGCTCTGAGCCTGGAGGAAGAGGAGAAGGTGGAGGAGGAGGAGAAGGTGGTGGAGGAGCAGGAGCACAGGGAGAGAGGGTGGCTTTAGCATGTGCTAGACAGTGCCTGGACAGGAGGTAGCAGGGATAAACCACTTCCTATGGAAAATACATACCAGTTAACGTTCATGTCCTCTCTAAAGCAAGACACACACACTCACAGTCCAGCAGCAGCAACAATAACATCTTCCTGAATGTTCAACAGTTGCAGCAGCGTCCTCTGCGTCGTCTGGTGACATGCTGCATGCTTACATTAATGCTCTGTGAACTGCCTCAGTGATCCAAGCGGTATTACTCCGAATTATCTCTATATTCCCTGGCTCTTGTCCTGGCTTTCTGGTAGATCTTTATTTTACTTTTTAGTTTAGGATAGCTGACACTGCCTGTGTTTGTTCTGATCTCAGTGGGCTGAAATACTGTTACGCAGGTGATGCGACACAAATGTTTGAAAAATGTGTCTCCCTCACCGTCCTCTCTCCCTCTCTCCAAAGATACACTGATATCAACATACCTAATTGACAAAATATTTCTTTTCTATTAATTTATTTTTGAGTATGTGTTTCCATCAAGTACTGCTTGAATCTTACAGTATATATATGTCAAGTCAGAAAAAATAATCTTACAAATATGATCCTGAATGCTTTTGTTCATTTTATTTGTCAAAATGGCATTCTGACTGCTTATTAGTTGATTGTTTGTACATATGTTGGATTTTTGTGGTTGACTGTGTGTTCTGAAGTGGCATACAAAAAGCTTACGGCTGTTACCCTTTTCAAAAAGTTGTAAGGCATATTTTTATACACGTCAATATAATATTTTATATATGAATTGTTGGTTTATTTAATGAACTACAGTACAATGCCATGTATTTTTATATTGTCAGCAGTTTCTTATTTAAAGACAGAGATTATTTTATTTCATGTTAGGGGAAGTGTTGTGCTTGAAAGGCACCTTTATGGCAAAACTCATCATTCATCAGAGCTCTATTCAACTGCTGCACATCTTATGGTTATATCTCATGTTTTTAATTTCCTTTTATTTATGCTTTGTTTATTTGAAAGTTGAGAATATCCATGTTACTATTATGTTTTATTTCTGGCACATCATACCACAAATTCTGAGTTCAGTAGAGGAAAAAAAAAATCAAATTTGTTATTGTTATGTCTCTCCCAAGTCCTTGCAAAAGTCATGAAATGGTGTGCTATTAAAGTGTGATTAGAATTTATCTATTTCTGAACAATCTTGTTGTGCCAATGTGTGTGCCGTGATGAAAGGTCCATGCACAAAGGACCTGTAAGATTTGCAAATATGAAAATAAAACATAATGATAATAAAAATGGAGAAGAATTAAACATATATTAATATAACAATGGCTGTTGGGTGTGTTCTTTTTATTGGATGAAGGTATTTGTGATGAATTTCAATAATGCTGCTGTTGATAATGATGATACGTTGATGAAGATGATATCTATTACATTTTTGGCTTTAAGTTACACAAAAACATAAACAACATGGATACCCCAGATATGTCATGAAAGTAAGAGAAAGTACAATTACGTCAGGTTCTTGTGATTAAACTGTAGGCTACTATTGTCTGCATCCCAACATTTCAGTCAACAGTTACAACCCAGTCTCATGGCATTTCGTGTTCACCAACACGATTTCCCTGTAAAATGATGTGAAAGCATGAATAAAACTACACATCTTCAGATGTTGTACATACATAAGTGTCCTACACTAATAATACAAAGTTATTATGGCTGTGTGTACCTTGTGTGCACCGCCTAGTGGTTAAAGCACGTTATTGAATTATTGTTCTTATGTGTTATATTTGATTAAAAAAATATTAAGAGTACATACTTTCATAGGAGGAAAGTAGAAGGTTTGTGATAGAAATATATAATATAAAAATCAACCTTTGAAAAAAAAATCTATCAAATATCTCTCCTGATTGTTGGCACTTGACAATCAGGAGAGATATTTGATAGTTGGTGCTTGAGAAGACTAAACATGTATCTGCAATTGACATGAATGGAAACGAGTAATAAAGTATATTCATTACTCGTTATTCTCTAGTAATAGTTAATTAAAGACTGTATATTATGGCTATTTTGCACATCCCTTTCAAGATTTTCAAAGGTTTATTGACATATCATATACACAACTACGGTGTAGTTATGCAATGAATGAAAATATTGGGTCACAGGTTCCTCAACAGCGCATTACAAGACATCTATCAATATGTGTGTGTACCTCCACCATTAAACTGTCATATTCTGCACATTTCTTATACTATCTACATAAGAGTATAATTCATATGTATAATATCAGTTAAAATAAGTGCTTCAACATAGTTAACATTGCAGGAAAGCAATATATTAGACGTTAAGTACTTTGTCAGGCTTAATATGTATCTGTAGATAGATACCCCCAAAGTGTTTTTCTTATTTAAAAGAAGACCTTAATCTAAAGTATTATTTAATGTTTAAATAAAGGTTAATTCGTTTTTCTGTTTTGCACCTCCTCCTATTAATATCTTTGTACATCCTGCACTAAACTGTTTTATTGTAGAGATCACTTATAGTATCTTCTTGATTTTTTATATTCTATATTTCTATCACAGACCTTCTACTTTCCTCCTATGAAAGTATGTACTCTTAATATTTTTTTAATCAAATATAAGACATAAAAACAATAATTCAATAACGTGCTTTAACCACTAGGCGGTGCACACAAGGTACACACAGCCATAATAACTTTGTATTATTAGGGTAGGACACTTATGTAAGTACAACATCTGAAGATGTGTAGTTTTATTCATGCTTTCACATCATTTTACAGCATATTGCTATACTATTTCAGACTCAGTATTTACATTCTTATATTCAAAGAAAATCAGTAATATCTTTAAAAACTACAGTCCTTTTATATCAGCTGTGCACCGTTATGGTGTAAATATAACCTATCTATGAATTAGATCAAATGTAAAAGTCAGCCGAATTAGTGTTGATACTGCAAGGAGACGTATTGTGTGAAGAGAAATTGAAGATGTTGTTTAATTGTTTGATATATTTATGATCCATGTCAAGTATTCAGTTTCGGCTGCATTTCTTCCAGTTTTTCTAAAGGTCTTCTCATCAGGGCTCTATAAAGAACTACGGCAGATCTGTAATATGTAATGCAGCCGAACCGTGTATTACAATGCCGTTATGTGATGACTTTCAAAGAGAAAAGCAAGAACACTCGGAATTAAGTATTATTTTATTATTTTAAAATGTTTTCCGGATTTCATATCATATAAACACCAAATCCCAGCATGCATTGCGGCTAAAACATCCAATCAGCGAGCTTAAATCATAGCTGAGGATCTTGGGTAATCGCTCGAAATGCCTACGTCTGTTTCCGGTTATTTTTATTTTTAAATTCAGTTCCTGACGGACGCCAAAAAAGCACGAGATTATGAAATTAAACCAATAAATAAAAGCAAGAATAATTGTGTGTTATTGGTGAGTAAATAATAGTGTGTTATTTTGAAAAGAATAACAAATTAGAAGGAAAAAAAGATTTAAAAAATACAGATTTCAGTATTCTGAGGCTCTGAGCCCCATTTATTTTCCTCACAGCAAAAACGGCAAAAAAAAAGTCCGAAATTATACGATTTAAAATAAAAGCAATAACTGTGGCTTGATATTGAGTAAGAACATGTTTTTATGAACCACACAGCTTCCGGTCTTCCACGACCCGACCGGAGAAAAAGACGTGCTGCAGGCACGAAACACATTACCAGTATAAATACATTGCTTTTAAAATCGTGCTGTGCAACACGAAAAAAAGGGGGAAATCGTGTTGGTGAACACGAAATGCCATGAGACTGGGTTGACAGTTAACAGTTACTATTAACTCTAAAGATTAACTTTTTGCATACAAAACACGATTTAAACAAGAAACATAGTTCCAACTGAGCAGTTTATGTCTCTAAAATGTAACCTAACTGTTAACTAAGAATAATAATACAGGGTATTTTAAACTGTAAAAGCAATCCCTCTGCATTATGAGTACTTCTACTTTTGATGCATTTTGCACTGAATACCTACAGTATGTAGTTTTACTGAGGAAAGAGTTTGAACGCATGAATTTGATTCCTCATAGTATTTTACACTGTTGTATTGTGTTGTTCATTGCTACTTTTATACAACGATTGAAATACTTCCAACAATGCGGAAATCGGATATTTAACACAATTATAAAATATTATAATTATTATCATAAAAAATATTTGATCCTCAATAGCAATTAGAATCATCAAAAAAGAGTCAATAAACGATGGCTTTTAGGTACTGTACTCATTAGTGTTTTGAGGTAAATGCTAACGACAGCATGGCAACATGCTAACAACAATGCAGCCTGTCTGATGTTTAGCAGGTTTAAAGCTAACATGTTTAGCATCTAAGTTCATTTTGTTAGCATGTTTATATTTGCTAGTTGGCAATAAACAAAAAGCTCAGCTGAGGCTGATGGGAAACTCAAAGGTTTTGTAGGTATTTTAACAGATTTCTACACTGCAGTTGACCCTCTGCTAACTCTGGTATAATTGACAATGCATTATATTGGCCTGGGTTCATGTCAGTTTTAACATGTGAGTGCTAAAAGTATAGAATTGTTATCAGTCTGCTGTTTTTTCATGTGGCCCGTTTAACATTGGCAACTTTTAGCCGGGTTTACTCAATTTTCAAATAACCCCAAAACTCGTTGCTAGCCCTGCACTAGAGCATGGCTAGCAAAGCCAGCGCTAGTTGCAGTTAGCCCTTTCTTGAATGTGCCAGAATTGTGTCAGTGTGACATTTTCTGAATTGGACAAATCAACATTTTGACCCATAGTTGGCACTAAAATAGAATCAAGGATCTTGAGGGGGACAACAAAGTCAGAACCAAATTGCAATTCAAGAGTTATCCAGATATTTGACACTGACAATCAAAACCACACATGAAGGCTATTGATATAGCTTTAGAGGAAAAGTCTGGGGATTACATTACATTACATTACATTGTATTTAGCTGACGCTTTTGTCCAAAGCGACTTACAATAAGTACATTCGACCAGGAAGACACAACCTTGAAGAAAACAGAATCATATAAGTATATCAGGTTTCATAGAGCCAAACATTTCAAGTGCTACTCAACTGGCTTTAGGTAAGCCAGTCCTTTATTAGTATAAAAGTGCTTCGTTAATAGTTCTAACGCTCGAAGTGGAGTCGAAAGAGATGAGTTTTCAGTTTGCGCCGGAAGATGTGCAAGCTATCTGCCGTCCTGATGTCAATGGGGAGCTCATTCCACCATCTTGGAGCCAGGATAGCAAACCCACGTGGGATCACCATTGGAAATGTATCCCACAGGATACTTTGGGCCGACTGACTGACTGACTGACTGACTGTCATGGCCATCCAAAGAGCCATGCTAGCTGGCAGCTGATTATGAAAAAGACAACAAAATATATATAACCTTGATTAAACTAACACATCAAAACAGTAATGCACTGCCCAGGCCTCGGAGAAGCAGACCTTTTGGAACACCAGTAACCCAAATACTTCCTTCCATTATTCCAAGCAATAACACAATCAAATGTTCTGTCAGGGTGGTGACAAAGTGATACACATGATGAAGGCAGACAACACTAAATCAGTTGTCTTAACAAATATGGGGACTTTGTCACTTCTGAAGCCTTTACTACTAAGGGTCCCTCTGAAGCACTTGGACAGCTTACTGTGTACTTCAGTTTGAGGCTTTATGCTCACATTCCTTATGCAGTGAAATTGAAATTACACATTAGAGCACATTAGAGTCATGCTGCTTTTCTGCCATTACTAGGCACATAAAGGATGATTTTCTCTTGCTCTGCAACACAGAGACCAGATACATGCCTGTTTCCAAGGTAACAGCATAGAATATCCCATTTGTCCATGCGTGATATGAAATGAAGGCCTTGCAGAAAATGAAGGAGGAAGCATGATCCTTTGTAGAATCACACCACCACACGTCCTACTTCTCTATGTAGGGTGCTCTGCTATTCTTGGCGATTCTTTTCTGTGCATTAAGCATGAGATGCAAGCACAATACATCCACCGTTCTGTAAAACTTACTTAAAAATGACAAGTATGATGTGAATAATGACACGTACAGTTTTTTATCCAAAATTAAACATTGAAAGCAGATGTCTTGCAAGCAGATAGTTTGAGTGCTTCCATTCTCTAGGTCAAATATTACAAAATGTTTACATGCTAAAACATATCAAAAGTAAAAACTGATAATCAATCCAAAAATATTTCTACACTTGTTTGTTCTCACGCACCAAGTAAATTGCTTTTTTCAACATCAAATACATTTGGGGATGTTCCCTATATTTTACTTTACTATTATTTTGTTATTTATTGGACACAACACACATGAAAAGCATCATTAAGATGTAAATGTGTCAGATTTAGCCAAAGGGGAAAATAGAGCTTGTGTACTAAGATGTATGTTGGAAACCGTGCTACGTTCAAAGCATATTGGAAAAATGAACTGTTTACTACAATTGAATTTACTACAGGCCTCACATTTGGAAAACAAAATAACATAGTAATGCTGTCATACATTCAAATAGAAAACTAGAATATAGAAGAAGAAAATTAGTAAGTTACCGTTCCCTGGAAACTATTGCATATAGTGGTTTAACCCTTCACCTCTCTGCAGTTATGTAACAGCGCAATCTGCCGAATTGTGACATAACTGTTGCAAGAGGTTACAGGTGCAACAAAGCACACTTCTGGACACACCCAACTATGACACAGACATGAAACACTGCTTTACCTGGGGTTCATTTAACCTCTTAGTTGCTCATTTCAAAATGGTACATGATATTAAATATATACGATCAGCATTTTGTGATATGTAAAGTCAAAGACAATAAGTTGAGAAAGTAGATTTGCAAATGATAAGCTAATCGGTATAGAAGTGTATATTGACTTGTATTAACTAGTTATAACAGTAGGTACATTTGCTATTTTCTTGTATGCAGGAAAACATTTAATTATCTGAGTACTTGGACCACCTCTGATAAAAGTAAATCAAATCAATCAATACCTTTTTTTGTATATTACTGATTTTGTGTTCTTCTGCTATTCTCTATGCATGTCAGTTGTAGTTTAAACACATATTGTATTTGTTTAATGTATATATATATATGTCACATTGTCAATTAATCATCAATGTTTAACTTAAATGGAGGCGTGTGGCGCAGTGGGTTGTGCGTTGGTGATCAGGGGGTCGCAGGTTCAAACCCCACTGCAGTCAGCATGTCGTTGTGTCCCTGGGCAAGACACTTCACCCCAAATTGCTCCTGCGGTGATTGTCCACTGTATTGAGTATGTTAGACGCTTTGGATAAAAGCGTCTAACAAGTAACATATAATGTAAATAACATTTTATTTATTTTTTATAAATATAAGAAAGAATAAAAAGAATGTTCTTTTTTTTCCAATATTAGGGATTAAAGCCCTGGATATCTTAAATTCTGCCACAGCTTTTTTTGTATTATATCTGTCTCTCACAAGTCCAACAACTTGATGGAAGTGGCAAACCACATTGCAAGAATTACATTCCCCATTTTAAACAAAACAGGGTTATAATAAATAGTAGCTCTGTTTCTGTCAGATGTCTACAGGTACCTCAAATCATGATGTTCATGTTGTCCTTTGTTTTTAGGATCTTACTGCCCTCTAGAGGTTAACAAATATATTTTGGGCAACCATAATGAGAGTTGAATGCATCTGCTTAAATTTGATCACTAAGTAGGACACTGAACACACACATAACCATCATGCATGGTTTGATCCAACAAAGCTGTCTGTCTGTATCACTATCACTTAATCATTGTCCATCAGTGTTTGGAGCATTGGTATGACTATATTGTGTTCACATTTCTGCACATTGCCCTCATCTTGCAGAACTGTTATGCTTTTGAACTTACTATATGAAGTAGTTTTATGTTATCAACCTAATAACATAAAATGAAGTGTACAAATCTAATTATCTAATCTAAAGTCCAATTATAATTGTGTGATATAGGCTGATTTATTGATTATAGAATTAGACATTCTAGATAATGAATACATTTAATTTAATTACAGTTTGCCAATATTACTTATGTAGCCTACTTTAGCTTGCAACAGAGTATGTTTGTTGTAATTTCACACATTTTATTTGATTAAAAGATTAGTACAACTGAAGTTAGACGAAGTGATGAGGTAACATAATTAAAGAGGTGATAAATCCGACTGACCTCTCTTACTTGAAAGCACCATGCAACTTTGCCAGAACCGCCCACTTTAGGTCACCTGACGCACTTATATCGATTCTACTGGTCGTTGCCACCTGTCAATCACAAACTCACCACGTGGTTGATAATAACATGGGTGGGCTCGAGAGGGCGGAGGTGGACTGTCAGCAGCAGCAATGATTTGGGAAATAATATAGTCACGCATTAATTAAGTTAAGTAATGATTCAGCTCGCCAGGTTTTGAAAAATAGAGACAGTGTAAAAGAACCGAAGCTCGACAGGTGACCTTTGGTTGTTTTGTGGCCGGGAGGAGACGTTAGCTAGAGCCGTTAGCTCGTTTAGCTTCCAGGAAGACTGACGAGAAGAGCCCGTCTGCGGTCATGGCTGCCTTCGGTAACTCCGGAGCTATTTCCAGTCCCATGGTGGTCTTGGCTCCGAAGACTAAAACGAAAAAGAAACATTTCGTGCAGCAGAAGGTGAAGGTGTTTCGAGCCAGCGACCCCGTCCTGAGCGTCTTCATGTGGGGCGTCAATCACTCGGTGAGTCGCTAGAAGCTAATGCTAACATATCTCTGCCATGTAAACGTAGCTTAGCTTAGTTAGCAGTTAGCTAACTTTACCAACATCTGTGAGATTCTGTGACCCTAGAAGAAAAACTCAGATGCTTTGACTAATTATTGACATGTGGGTTCATTAGGATCTAGTGACAGACTTGTAAACAGCTGTTAAAGATGGGAGAAGTTCTCTTTTACCTGTACCTGAGTGTAGGAATTCTCTGTTACCAGTAATTGTACTCAAGAAAAGTATTGGCAGCTAAATAAACTTTAAGTACCAAAAGTAAAAGTACTCATTATGCATATTGGCCCATTTCAGAATAATATATATTATGTTTAGATTATAATTATTTATGCATTAAAGTGTTATCAGAGCCGGAAAAGGTTTGAATGACTTTTATGCGGTAGGGTAGCTTGTGAATTTGGAACTAAAGTCTGATTTAAATATTGATTTTATATTTCACATAATTAATCCAAATTTGTAAAGTAACTAAAAGTGTTAAACAAATGTGGTGGAGTAAAATTACACGATTTACTTTTGAATTGTTCTGGGGTAGAATGAAGTACAAATTTAACAAAATATTTAAATACTCAAGCACAGTTCTAGAGTAAATGTACTTAGTTACTTTACAGCACTGCAGCTGTTTATGTTACACAGCAAACATCAACAAAAGTGTATTGGATCACAGCTATTAAAATGTTATGGAAATACGGTGGACTCTGGTAGCAGCTACCAACAATCATTGTATGGCCATACTGAAAGATTTAGTGTACTAAAGGAAATAATTTAGTATAACTAGTCAGTGCAGTAATGTATATCCTATTACTTGAAGTACAAGTACTCAAAGATCTGAACTAGTTTAAAACCTGTTAAGCCCCAAAGCCCCCCTCGGCGGGGGCTTTTGTTTTTCACGACACTGTCTCAGCAGGGCATCTTAATATTTAAGAACCTATTAATGTGTTATACCAGATTAACGGGAATAATCTCAGCTAATTGACGATACAAAACACAAGTCTCATAAGAAGCATCTAAATGACCCCTGAGCGAAAAATGCTAACGCACTTTGGCACAGAACTCGAGATAAAAGATACCCTTAATACTTATCGTAGCTGCACATACAAGATATCCGATTAAAGCTGAGGTTCTACAGATTATTCAGGTATATATATATCATCACTGAGTGATCCGGACTCGCGACAGGGGAAGCAAACACAGACATCACAACACGTACCTTTACATAGCTTTTACGGGAGATCATCTCACCGTAGCTGTCAATCTGATCAAAAGACTTGTTCAATGGCATTAAAACGAGAAAAAACGCGGCTGAATTGGTTAATCCATAGGTTGATAAAGTTTCTGTGGAATAATTTTTTTTAATTTATAATCCATAATTCAATTTTTATGTAAAAATCGGAGAGTAACAGTTAGCTGCTAATGGTAGCCACCAGAGTTATCGCAGCTTCCGGTTTTTGCTATGCGTCAGTCTCACACACACATTACCAAATAAGGAGTATGTGGGAGTTCCCCTCGATTCCATTGGCTCTGACGGTTAGAAAGAGATGTCAATCAGCAAAATCGAGCAAGGGGGCCCAGAGATGGGTCAAATCCACCCAAATGACCCCAGAAGTGGGTTTTTTTGCTAAATCTCTCTAAAAAGGTCAAATTGCACTTGTTTTGCATCAATCTTGATACAGGGTACTTATTATATGTTGTAGTTTGGATTCATAAAGCTTTTAGTCTACCATCCCATCGTTCAAGGGTGGTTTTCACTATAAGTAAAAACATTTTGGACGGACGGACACAATCATTTACATTTTTTTACTGTGTTCAATCTGAATTTACTTTAAAATAAAAACATCTATATTGATTCTGACACTTCCAAATCCAACTCACAGGTGTAACCTTGCTTTGAGAAAAAAGATTATTAATTTAACCCTTTTGAGAAGGGAAGATATGGTCATTTGTTCTGGGAATGTCATTGTCGAGCCTGAGACCTGAAAAACAGGCTCGGGCTTAACAGGTTAAAGTTACCCTCTCAGGCATATGAATGGCGATGGTTTTGTAGCCTAACATTTAGTGGCATGAATCCCAGTCAATTTTAATTGATGATTTTAATTAATGTTTAAAATTAAAGAAATGCTAACATTGTTGTTACCTTCTTTCTTTCAGATCAATGATCTTAACCAGGTGCCTGTTCCCGTCATGTTGCTGCCTGACGACTTTAAAGCAAACACTAAGATCAAAGTCAACAACCACCTCTTTAACAAGTAAGAAATAAGCAGATAATGAATTGGTTGAAATGTGAATACTTGCACCTAAAATCAAATGTACCTGACAATGTGTATAGGCTAACCTGCAGAGGAACATAAACATATGAAAGAATCCTGACGTCTGTGTGCTGTCCACTATAAAAAATGTTTTTGTTCATTTGTGTTCAGCCACCCCTTTTCACTTTCTTACGTCTTCTCATTTTGCAGAGAAAATCTCCCAGGACATTTCAAATTCAAAGAGTACTGTCCTCAGGTCTTCCGAAATCTTAGGGAGCGGTTTGGTATTGAGGATCTGGATTATCAGGTATGTGAAGTAATATTCAGTATCTGATGGGACTTCGTTGTCCTATAGGGATGTATCTCCTAAATGTTTTTAATTAAATTGTCTTTATTATGTATTTATAGCACCCGTTTTTAGATGGTTTATGTAAAGTGCTTTAAAATGCCTTGTTTGTCTAAAATATCCTATACAAACATATTTTAACAAATTATAAAAAAAATTGAGTTAAAACTAAAAGGCTAATTTCTACTCTTAACTGTGTGCTTGTCTAGGTTTCGTTGACCCGCAGCCCCCCGGTGAGGAGTGTAGACGATCAGGGAGAGGGTCTGCTCCTCAACTCCTACGACCGGACGCTGGTCATCAAGCAGATCTCCAGCGAGGATGTGGCAGACATGCACAACATCCTGTCTGAGTACCACCAGGTAAGGTCTTGGTCGTTGAAGGAAAACTCCCTATGTTCTACCCAGCATTATGTCAATGTGCCTCTCAATACTTTCTTACTCCCGTACCCCGTCTTATTAGTTCGTACTGAGGACTTACTGTAAAACATGAGTGTTACAAATATACAGTTTAATGTAGGTCCAGGGCAATGTGTGTACAATTCATTTGATTATCTCAAAATCTTGTTTTGGTAAAACATGCAAAATGTTAAGATGAACTTTACACCGTATTCAGCAAGAAGCTAGTCACTTCTGTAAATGCCCGTCTGTATTTGAGACAAGTCTCTCCACAGCTTAATGTTTTTACAGGAAACCCTCAAATAGCACTCTGCTAGCTTTTTCAAGTCGGGCGGAGTAATGTCTCTAAATGCTGAATAATCTCTTAAATTGTTTATATACTGGGAGATTGTGTTATTATTGATAATTTTTATTATATTCTGGAAAACCAACATCTGGCAAAGAACTGGGTCATTTCAGTTTCAGTTGCTTCTGCATCTTGAATCTGAATCCTTCCTTCCATCTACCTGTTCATTCAGTTTGCCCCTCACTCATTCATTCAAGGTTATTCCTGTCAGTTTCCAGACTTGATACCATCACACACAGATCCTGGATTACTTGCATCCTGTCTGCTTTACTGAACTGTGTTAAGCTTCCCACACTGCGTCCTACTTACAGAATGTTCTCTTTAACCTTTGTTTGGACCTTTTTTGAGCTCCTAAAATTAGCACTTCCTGGGGGGATTTTTTTTCTTTTTCTGCCTCATGGTGAGGGACGTCGACCCAAATGTGGTGCAGTGAGTAGGCAGACCTACATACTCAAACTGAGAAGAGAAAACATCTGTCGTGCTGAATTGCCCTTGATCAAGACCCTAAATGTAAACCTCCCTTAGGGGAAACTGAATAATAACGCAGGCAAAACAAAACCCTCATCATCAAGGTTACAGCGCTGCGCAGCGTGGGGAACAAACAGTTCTATAGTTGTTGATTTACTAAAGATATGTAAATGTTCATATCAACACATCTATGTTCATGTAAATAGTAGAGTACGTTTGTAGGAGAGATACGAGGAAGGTGACACACTTTCCCCTCTATTTTGTTTGTTTCTATAAAGGCTTATTATATATTTGCGGCCCAGTCTGGTATCAGTGCTCATGCTTGTTTGGCCGAGTCGTGAGGGGACTTCAGAACTCGGACCACTGAGTAAACTTTTCGCTGCTTTGAGTTTGATAGGAATGTGTAGCCTGTGGTTACGCAGCCTACATAGAACGGGGAGGAAGATGAGGAAAAATGGCAGCTCTGTTTTCAGTGTTTTTTTTAATGCACTTGAATGAACTCATTGTTATCCGAGGCATTACACAGTTTCCCTCTTTCATCATGACCGTTTATTTATTGTGTCACTTTTCCAGTCAACATTTAGTTTTTAGGGAACATGTTTTGCGTGTTAAAGAACTGTAGATTCAGATGATGAATATTCTTTTTAGAAATGTTGTACCCAATATTGCAGTGTTGTAGTCAAGTCACCAATTCACGAGTCCAAGTCACTCTCGAGTCACCACTCTTCGAGTCCGAGTCACCCAAGGAGTGTCCGAGTCGAGTCCGAGTCATCATTACCTGTGTTCGAGTCATCATTACCTGTCTTCATGTATTAATCTTCGTGGATATATGTGTTGAAATGTAGCTGCTTCTCTACATTGCTTTTATCCTGTCATGTTATACTAATCTGTCTATTGAACTGCTGTGAAGCGAGTTTGGCTACAATTCTTGTAATAGGTGCTATACAAATATAAAGCTTATTACTAATATTATTATTGTAAATGACCTTTAATATGTCCAACTATATTTAAAATGAGTTAACTTTTAGAGAAGTGATTATATTTGTATGCCAATATTTTCCTATGGTAAAGTTTTCGTTTTGCACTTTTATTTTGATAGTAATAAGATCGGGACTCTTATTTTGAAGGAACTTTTACCGGTTAAATCAGTTTACTAATAAAGATTTAGCCCCAGAAAGCACATACTTAGCATGCAAAATGACATCATGTGCTTTGTGTTATCGGCTGAATCTTTATTTGATTAGATCACGTTACTCTGATGATAGGGTTCAACACAGCCTATGTCTGAACTCGATCCTTAGAGTAATGTGTTACGGAGCCTTCTCTTCAATCTTGTTTCCACGTAACATAACAAGCATTTTGCGCTGCTCTTTTCCAATGTGGAAGCAGAATGTGTGAAAGCATAAAGCATGATGTGGGGTGTGTCCTAGACATGTTTAGACTGGAACAACGGGGGCCAGTACGTGAACTCGCCTCACAGGTGCACACGCTAGGATAGAGGACATCAGACTCCAGAGAAAACTTGCTCGAGTCCAAGTCAGAGCGTCAATGTATAAGTCGAGTCCGAGTCATTGTGGGGGGGGGGATTCACGAGTCCAAGTCATCGTACGCGAGAATTCACGAGTCCGAGTCGCGTCAATCAGTGCCCGAGTCGAGTCACGAGTCCCGAAAATCGGCGTCCGAGTCCAGGACTCGAGTGCTCCATCTCTGACATATTGTACTCGAGCATTAGGGCAAGCACGACGGCTTCGCTGTTAAAGGCTTTATCAATGTTTTGCTTTCAGTCATTACTTGGATGAATTTTCCGGGGGTTCGGATCCTCGTCACCTTTTTCATACCTGATGAGTTTGCATCCCTGAAACCAGGATTCACTCTTTAACCTCCTGCCCAGTGTGTTTCATGGGACACTGAATGAGGTCACTGTGAAGAAAGTCTATTTTAACTGACTGAGCACGGCTCAAAGTCTAACCTGGATACACTCAGTAATTGCTCTGCTTTTTAAGTGACCTTTAAATATGGAAACATGTAAGACTGTAGGCCTTTTTAAGACTTGTGGTAATCTTTCAGCTGCAAATCTGTCTTCATTTTTTACAATATTTGTATTAGAATTTTAAACAACATAAAATGCAGTCTTATACATTAATACAGGGTGTCCGCAGGGTCTTAAAAAGTATTAAAAGTTGATGAATCAATTTAGCGAAAATTAAGGCTATTAAATGGCATTTTCCAAGGTATTAAATGTTGTAGCTTGTTTTCAATAAGTATATAAATTGTCCAAAGAGGTTGTATTCTACAGTCTGCCTGAATGTAATCATGGCGTAGGTGTGTAGTGTGATTCTGTGTAGTTTATTGATGGCATCCCGTTGGACTTGACGTCATCTGAACAGGACATCTCACACTCACTGCTTGATAGCGCGAAGCTCCGTTTACCCCGGTTGCTAAACAACATCGTTATGGGGAAATGCAAGTCTGCGTCCAAATGGTTGGAAGATAAGGAGGAAGGACAATCAATACTGTATATAGTCAATGTGAGGTAAAGTGTGTCGCCAAGGTAACCGGTTAAAACTCAAAGTGGCGATGAGGTCTTAAAATGTATGGAAAGGGTCTTAAAAGGTGTTACATTTGTCTTCAGGATTCCTGCATATACCCTGACATATCACTTAACAACACAGGTTTGCGGCATTCTCTCGCAGAAAAAAAACAACCAAAAAATAAAAAGGTTTAAGGTTTAAGTTTCATCTGTACAACAAATGGGAATCTATTACAAAGTGAAGTATAATAACTGTTAAAGACTCAAAATATGACACGCTTATAAAAAAAGATCAAGTCTACAAACTCTGAAACTGCATTGTTACGTTTTCCATTCGATCATCAGTTAAATCAAAATGTTAACATGATCAGTAAATGGTGTCCATAAACTCTCACACACATGCTGTTTAGCCTTTAATATGTTAATCTGTCTTCTGCTATTTTTATGTCTAAATTAGAAACGTGTTCCACTTTTCGAGCTGCCATGCGAATACCCTTTGTTCCCTCTCTGCAGCACATAGTGAAGTGTCACGGCAGCACGCTGCTGCCTCAGTTCCTCGGGATGTACCGTGTGAGCGTGGACAGCGAGGAGACGTACCTGATCGTCATGAGGAACATGTTCAGCCACAGACTGCTGGTGCACAGGAAGTACGACCTGAAGGTGAGGAGGAACTACTCAGCACTGCTCAAAGAAATGAAGTTATACATTATAGTCAATAAATACGGTTTTCTCTGAAATGGCCCTGAGATGCACATGTTTAGCTCATTTAAAACCTTTTGCCTTTAGCACAGAAGTGGCTTTGTACTGCTCCTCAATTTACCATTAGCACGATAAACAGAAGAAGAATGACTTCAGGGAACTTTTCTAAAAGAGTATCAGTATATAAATGCACTCTAAAATGTTACAATCGTTTCTTTCATTTTAAAATTCTATTTATTTCTCAATAAAAGAACGTACATATCCATTTATTTTTGATAATTAGACAAGACATTTGTTGTATGATGACTATACTGAAAGCAGCTCCACTGATTACCCTTAACAAGATTTACTTTTTGCAAGTAATGTCGTTTTTTGCCTTTTTTAATGTTTCTGAATCTCAATATTTTTTGAATGTGTTTTTTCAGGGCTCTCTGGTGGCTCGTGAAGCAAGTGACAAAGAAAGGGTAAAATAGCAATTCTTCATTTGTATATCCTAATGGGGCCCACTGTCTCCTCCTTACGTCCCTAACTCCTGCTAAAGATGTTTTTTTATTCCTAAAGGGAAAAGAGCTCCCGACCTTCAAGGACATGGACTTCAGGAACAACATGCAGAAGGTGTATGTGACCGATGAGCAGAAGGAGAAGTTCATGGAGAAACTCAACAGAGATGTGGAGGTAGGTGATTCAATGAGACACTTCTCTGTTGTTGCACCGCTCCGCCACACAGAGGCACCATCAGCACGTCAGGGACGCACCAAGGCTGTGATGCCATTTTAGCAGCGTGTGGGATTCATTTAGATCTCAAAACATAAACATAGGTCATTCAAATTGATAAGATAATACTTTATTTATCCCGAAGGAAATTGTTGTGCCAGAGTAACAAAATACTATAAACACAACAGCAAAACTGTACACTAAAAGTGCAGCAAAAAGAGCAATTCACATCTACAGACAACATGAAACATAGATGGTCACACAATCAATGCAATTATTAGCAGTAGTTAGTAGTGCAAAAAATAAAACGTAGTGGCAGTTACGTAATTGCACGTTATCATAGCATTATTAATAATATTGCACATAGTTATACAGCAGCGAGTGTATTGTAATGATGGTAATTATATTGATATGTATATTGCACATAGTGTTGGTGTGGAAGTTCTCAGTTCCCTTTACGTAAGGGTGAAGAGTTAAAGAGTTTGATTGCCACTGGGAGGAAAGACCTCCTGTGGCGCTGTGTGGTGGTTATCGGTGATATCATTATGGCTGAAAGTGCTCCGGATAGAGTCATCTGCTACTTTTTTTTTATCATTCTTTAATGCTAAAATGTAACAGGTTGCCGCATCTCAAATGTAAACATCACAGAATATAAACAAGAAAACCTCAGTCTCAGGGCACTGGGAATTTGTCTTTGTCGTGCATCAAAACGACATCAACTGAAAACATACAAACATCAAGAGCAGCAGGATCTAGCAGAGGAGGGTTGAGCATGTCCAAGGCATTTCATTCAATATTCCCAGATGTTCCTGTAGTGCAAGTTGATATATAAATACAAATGTTCCTGCAAATTGTTGTTTTTGTTTCAGCAACATATACAAACTAAAGATATTTCAGTTTTGGTAGGTTGGGTTAGGGGGATTTTCCCTCTAGAAACAACCGGTCCAAATGTTTCAATGACTCTTCTGTGGATTAATTTAGCTCTGGTTAACAGTTCAGCACTATTTTACCGTGCGTCTTTCCCTCACAGTAAATACATTTCTCTGTAAGCTTCTTAACAAATATCCCTCTTCAGTTCCTAGTGCGGCTGAAGATCATGGACTACAGCCTGCTGCTCGGGATCCACGATGTGGGTCGAGCTGAACGTGATGAAGAGGAGGGCGAGGAGGTGTCCAACGAGGAAGATCCAGATGCAGAGAACGGCCTGGCGGGGGCAGCGGTGGGGTCCTATGGCACCTCTCCAGAGGGCATCGCTGGGTACATGTCCTGCTGCAAACCTCTGGGGCCCGGGGAGTTCGACCCCTACGTGGACGTGTACGCCATCGGGAACTGCCCAGGTGAACAAAGGCTCAGGCCACACAATACCATTATTTAAGACTGAGATTACATTGTAATGTTTTAGGTAGGATGCACTGATTAGACATTTCCTATTTCCTCAATCATTATTTGATTTATTATTTCTTCTCAAAGTATCTCCTGAAACTCAATACCAGTCCAATAGAAGTGCTTTATTTTTCCCATATTTTAAATCTGTTCAGCACATCCTAACTTTTTAGGTTAACATGCTGTAGAGCAGGGGTGTCAAACTCAAGACCCGGGGGCCAAATCCGGCCCGCGACTTCATTTTATGTGGCCCCGCAAGAGCTTTCAAAGAATATAATACGTTTATTATACGGTTACATGCCACCTTACGGAAGCAGGTTGCCCATAAACTACATGTCCCACAATGCATCTCGTTTTGTGACATGCGCACTGAAGAGACTTGCAATTATTTGCCCTGGACTTCTGCTTTCAAATGTAGTTAGTTATTACCCTATCCGATAATAATCCAATTCAGAGGCAATAATGTAATATAATACATTATTTTATATATATATTATATATTTATATAGTTACAACCGGCCCTTTGAGTGCCCGCAATGAAATTGAGTTTGACACCCCTGCGTGTAGAGATAAGAGATATTAGTCAGAGTATATAATCATTATTATTGTGAGATTTTCCTGCCTCCAGCTCCTGAAATGTGATCATTTGCGGCCTTTTCTCTGTTTTACATCTCTTTAAATGGAAAATATTTTAGATGTTGGCCGCTTAAAGAGCTATTTTCTTAGTTTCATAGGAATATGTATATTTTAAGATGTCGCCTTTTTTTTCACAATTTTCAAATATTGTAGAGACATAAAGTTTAAACGATGAATAAAGAAAACAACCAGCAAATAATTCCTTAGATGCAGTGTGTCCAAACCCTGAATCTGTCATTCCAGAATGATCTCCTGAAGTTTCTATACGTCTCCATGTTGTCTTTTCATCTCCACTTTCACCATCTAGAATCATCTGGAAAATAATAAGGATATATCTTTATAGGCTTTGATATTAATTTCTTACCCGGGAGCTTTCATCTGGATGAGTGTTTTCTGTCGGTACTGTCGATACAGCCAATGTAAAAACCCTGATTGTTCTGTCTTTCATCTCAGGAGCCCCTCAGAGGGAAGTGTACTTCATGGGCCTGATCGACGTCCTCACTCAGTACGACGCCAAGAAGAAAGCCGCTCATGCAGCAAAAACTGTCAAACACGGGGTGAGTGGCACGGGAGAGGAGGAAGAAGGGTTCAAGGTTCAAAGCTTTACTGTCATATGCATTGTAGCTACAGTGTAGTTATGGCAACAAGAAACAGAGTATAAATAGAATAGTGCAAGACCTATGTGCAAGTGCAGGAGAAGTCAAATGTATGTAGGATAAAATACAATAAGCTAAATGTTGCAAGTGTCCAAGTACATGTAGGTGTCTATATGCACGCAAGGTAGAATCAGATAAACAAGAACATGATGTAAAATGAAATACTGTACAGTGGAATAATACTGCTTGTAGGAATAAATATATTTGTGAGGCGGAAGAGGGATGCTGTCGGGTTATTCACAACTCTGTTCACAGATGATGTTGATGACCTTTCCCTTTTCTCTCCATCCTCCCTCTCTTTGTTGCAGGCCGGCGCTGAAATCTCCACAGTCCACCCCGAGCAGTATGCCAAAAGATTTCGCGACTTCATCTCCAACATCTTTGCGTAACACTCGGCTCCGAACGCTGCCATCTATTTTACCCTTCGACCAAAAGAAAATAGTACGCACACACAGATCGTTGTTTCTGAGGATCTGAGGCGGGACTACTTACGTTTGTAGCAACATAATGTACTACTTCTGATGCATATATTTATTTTTAAGATGCAGTTCTTATAGATATTAAGCACTCTTTAACGGTTTAACTCTGGAGCATTAGGGTACACGGAAATAAACTGCTGTTGATCAGTGTTAGACCATGTCAGTGCGAGATCAAATATTTAGTTTTCTTCTTTGTCACTTAAAGTAAGAGTTTGACATGTTAAGATCATAGCCTATTTACTTTTTTTGCCAAACGTTGAATGAAAAGATTGAAACTGCTTTCATGTTTAAGGTTCCTTGTGTCGTTTTTCACCTCTAGTAACAGTCAAACAGTCATTTCTCTATGAGTTGGTCACAATTTGACAAATGTGCACCCTGTACACAGTGCCAATGAAACCCACTACTCCACTGACCTATAGGCGACACAAAACACAGTTTAAAAGACTGCTAGAAAGGGAACATGGATTTTAACAATGCTGGATTTAACATACATAAAGACTTTACAAATATTTTTATGAGGAGGGAAATGTATTACACATTTGCATTTAGGAATGTGTTTTTCACATGACGTGAACAAAACTTTTGTTTGTTCACAAGAAAACTTCACAAGGGACCTTTTTTAATGTGAAGCTATTCAAGCAGATGCTTAGCTTAGCTTAGCATAAAGACTGGAAACGGAGGGAAAGGCTAGCCTGGCTCTGTAGAAAGGTAACGACATCCTCCATCCAGCACCTCTAAAGAAGCCAATTAATGCGCAAAACTTGTCATTTTGTTCAAACGAATGAGGAATAACACGTCTATAAGTGCAAGGAGCTGTTTGTCAGGGTTTGTTTTCTTTAAACAGCCCTGCTAGCTGTTTCCTGTCTTTATGCTAAGCTAAGCAAACCAGCTTATCGCGTTAGCCTTTTATTGGTTTTAGTATCCTCTCATCTAACTCTGGGTAAACAGGTGCTTAAAAAGTGAAACTATTCTTTTAATCCTAGAATAATAATGACATGATGATCGGTGTTAAAACAATAATGATAGTCTATATTCTACAGTTGGAGCGTAATATTATTTATCTATTGATGCTGTGGGCCATTTGAATGTTTAGAGTGCCAAATGTGTGCGATCAAAGCTTTATCCTAATAGGATTTGCACCTTGCATACAATTTAAATTAGCTCTGTTGTGACAGAGCAGAATCGCAATTAAAATGGATCATGTATGATTTTCCTCAAGATATTTACTCAATTTAAAAGAAAATGTACAGAACAGCCTTGTAAATTGAAATGTGTGGTATTTAATAGAGAGCACATTAAATCATTTGACTTGTAAACATGTTGGACAGCGCCTCTTAGCTACAGGAGCCTGTAAAGAGCTTGCAGGGGGGGTTTTAGGATTAGCCTTTTTTAAATAAAATACTTTCATGTATCGATATCAAAACACTTCCTGAAATGAGCCCATCATTCTGTACGGACTCCTTTATGAACGTGGTGTTGTGGCAAATGTGAGAATCATTGTGATGGATTTAGACAAAGATAGCAATAGGATCTGCTGTCTGTATTGTAACATTTGACATTTAGTGATAACTAGAGTACTGTGTAAAACACTGGACATTAACACTACATTTCAGTAGCTTCTGCAGTTAGCCTTAGCACGGTGGTATGATGGATTATTCCTGAATCACTGGCCAGGCAGCGCAGCTCTCTGTTTGATGCCTCATCTCCTCGATGATTTCACTTGTTGTATTTTTGAAAAATCCGTGTTTTGGACCACAATATATTTTACAAGGAATTTCTGAAATGTTTTGACTAATTTCCTCTCATTGCTCTTTGCTCCCCTTTATGCCACCAGATGGTCAATGTTTGTGCCGGTTTTATGTGACATTTCTCTACAACTATTTCGTATTCGCCTCAGAGTGAACCGCGTTGTTGGGAAGTATAGTTTAAAGAAATATTATTTAACTGCAATTGTGTTATCTGTTTAAACTATTGTAAAATAATTGTTATTAAATAAGTTACTAATCAAAATGTTCATTACCAAAGAGTTATAACTAAATATATCCCATACAAATCTTATGAGTAGATTATAACATTTGTTCAGTGGCACTGCTCTGATCCTTTTTCAAGTTATATTGAGAAACGTTTAATGTGTAAACTTCCTGGTTTAAATGTATGTACTTTATGTAATTTATCATGTCTTAAGGATTTTACAGCTTTTAATTCCCAGTTTAAAACCTTGAGAAAAGTTATCCAAATATATTAACATTCATTTGTTGAATTAAAATAGTGATCATTCAATTTTTTACTATGTTTCCTATTACACAAAAAAAATCCCTTCCCAACAATGCTGAATTACAATAGCTTCTTATCGCTATCAACAGGTCAAACATTTTAATTTGTCAAATATTATATGTATTTTTCCACTTAATACCTGCACAACTAATAACCAGTAATGTAAGATATACGCAGATCTTATACTCAAGCAAATGTAGCATAACTAAATTATAAAAAAGAGTCTTTTAAAAGTAAAAGTCCTGCTTCAAAATCTTACTTAACATATTGGCATCAAAATATACTGCTTAATGGCCCATTTCAGAATCACATTAAATTACAGTAATATGATGCATACATGTTGAGCTAACCTTAATTACTTCGGATACTGCAGCTAGATAAATGCACTTCCAATATGACGATGTTTATTTCTAAATTCATTTGAGTTTTGTGTTAACAAATAATCTTAATCTGTACCGTAACCAAAGATGTCAGTAGTGTAAAGTTTAAAATACTCAGGTAAAGTACAAGTAACTCAAAATATAAATGTACTTCATTATATCCACCACTGCTAAAAACGTTCCCATTAGGCTGTGTTAATACTTTGTGTTTTAGTACTTATTGGCAAGTATTACGCTATCATGCTGAACTAGGATAAACTTGGTTTCTGTGGGGTCAGAGGTCAACAGGCTCCCAGCTGCATGCAACATTGTACATGTTGTCCCTGCAGTGTAAGGTATTATTTGTGTAGTTTGCCGGTCAGAATATCATGTTAACTAAACGTATATTGATTTAAAGTTGTTTTAATGAATTCTTAGGTAATATGCTAGAGGTCAGGGACTTCCTTTAGTCTCACTTTTGAGATGTGGTTTTGCTGACCGGTTCCTTCCTGTTTCACCAGAGTGGAGAGAAAGAACGCATTTAGACAATAGGGTCGAGGCAGGACGAGCAGCGAGACAGAAGGAGGTCATCGAGCTGCAAACTGCTGACGCTCCGGAGCGCAGCAGATAAACAGCCTGAATCACAGCTAACACAAATGTTCCTGCTTTCACTCCGTACAACGCTGCTAACCTCTGACGTGACCTTGGCGAGGACAGCTGCTGACCTCTGCTTAATGCCACATTTCCTTAGAGGAAATTAGATAGATTTATATTGTTAATTGTGCAATTTAAGATGAGTTAAACCCTCAAACAAACAAATCTGCTCCGTCATCACTGAGAAAGAGGTCCCAAACGGCAGCTCACTTTTACAGAGTGTTGAAAAGGTGTGTGTGGCTTAAAGAGCCCCCTTCCTCAGAGATGTGCCCCAGGCCTCCCACCTCTTCTACACTCTGGCCGTCACTCACCGTCTCCACAGCTCAAGAGGGGGCTTCCTGGCATTGTTCTCTGCTCACTGATGTCTATTTTTTACTGTGTCTGCACCATCCTTCCCGGTCATATTCACAAACGGGATCAAGCAAGGTAATACATTGAGAAAAATCTGTATAAGTTAATGCAAATAAAAAAATGTTAAATACAAAAAAAGTCTAGATAGGCACGGCTGTCTTACCCTGAAGTAAATTAGCTGTTTCCGTTTTTAGGTAACTTTTGGAACCAATTCAATAAGGATGGATCATAGCATGCACCAAAGTAAAAAAACGTCACCAATGTGCCTTTTGAAATGCACGGTAAAATTAACCTTTTCTACGACTTTTAAAGGGGCCCTAATGCTCATTTTCATGGGTCATATTTGTATTTTGTGCCTCTACTTTGACATGTCTTCAGGTTTAATGTTCAAAAAGCTCTGCTCTGATTGGTTAGCTGACCGACTCTGCTGGGATTTGTCAACTGCTGAAATATGTCCTGCCCCTTAGCCTATCACGTCCAATGGGTTGGAGCGCTAGCCAATAGAAACGCAAGTGTTACATAGTGATGTCACTATGTTCCTGAAGTAAACAAAGGGATGCATGACAGCCTTATGACTGAGAGCAACAAATCAGAGCGTATTGCTGCATCAAATATTTGAGGAATGACAGGGGAACAGCAATTGCTTGCCATTGCACATATCAAACTGTTTATATTGCATAAAACCTGTGTAGGCGTTCCTGGATTTCTACACCACTCCCTGTGTGTGTGTGTGTGTGTGTGTGTGTGTGGTGTGTGTGTGTGTGTGTGTGTGTGTGTGTGTGTGTGTGTGTGTGTGTGGTGTGTGTGTGTGGTGTGTGTGTGGTGTGTGTGTGTGTGTGTGTGTGTGTGTGTGTGTGTGTGTGTGTGTGTGTGTGTGTGGTGTGTGTGTGTGTGTGTGTGTGTGTGTGTGTGTGTGTGTGTGTGTGTGTGTGTGTGTGTGTGTGTGTGTGTGTGTGTGTGTGTTGTGTGTGTGTGTGTGTGTGTGTGTGTGTGTTGTGGTGTTTTTTTATATAATGAGAAATGGGAGGGTAGAAGCTCCTGCTGCTTGATTGCTCAGATATCTGTTAACATCAGAGCTGGAAGGAGTCATCTGGTGGCTTCAGGCTTCACTCAGAAACACAGCGAGGCCTCAGGAGGGACCCTCACCCTAACCCTCTTCATCTACACAACAGGGGAACAACAATTGCTTGCCATTGCACATAGCAAACTGTGTATATGTGTAATCATAAATATTTTCATTCTACTTCTGCTCAACTCCACAGACCTTAAGCTCTACGAGAAGAAATATCTCCACTATTGAGATAAAGCAGAGATTTTCAACATAGATCTCCAGCTAACCCCCTAAGAGTACTATCAATATGAACACCAAGGTACATATTGAAGTAGACCTGAGTTATGGGTACATTGTGGATAACCGCCACCAGCCTAACGTTCTAGTCTTCTTCAAAACTGCTGTCTTTGTTTATTAATCCATGGATGGCTGTGTCATGTGATACCAATTTCATCTTATGGGATTCAAACTGTTATTTAAATCAAACCATCTGAACAGTTTGGTATGGAAAATCCTGATTTTAAATATAGCTTAAGCTGTCAAATTAATGTAGGGAAGTAAAAGGTTGAATAATACTCTTGTTATGCACTGACAGGATCACTTTTTAATTCAGTTGTACTTGTACAATGAATAAAGGAGTTCAATTAAATAGTGACGAGAAGCAGCAGAAAATGGCAACACCCAAGTTTCTATGTCCTATTTGGCTGAGTGTTGAATGTACATTTTGAAATGCATAAAACCTGTGTGGGCGTTCCTGGATTTCCACACCGCTCCACACTACCAACTGAGGATGTCCTGTCATGTGTGTGTGAGTATGTTAATGAGAAATGGGATGGTAGAAGCTCCTGCTGCTTGATTGCTCAGATATCTGTTAACATCAGAGCTGGAAGGAGTCATCTGGTGGCTTCAGGCTTCACTCAGAAACACAGCGAGGCCTCAGGAGGGACCCTCACCCTAACCCTCTTCATCTACACAACGCGGCTCTTCACAACAAGGTACAGTAATATATTTTGTTGTGATGTAACAACCTTTTCCACCATACATTTCTAAATAAAGGGGAAAGCTTATCCATTCGAGGTCAAAGTCTAACTTTAGCTATTCAAGCCTGCACATCTTGCAAGTCGAGGGTTACCATCTAGACATCAGACTGTTAGTGGCATTATGGGTAATGTAGTCGTCATGTTTTTCCAGCATGAAAAATCCATGTATACTACAGTAATAAAACATTTCTTGATATTTAGTCCTTTGTGAGTACAACAGTGTTGCTAAATATATGCAGTATTCTACTCTAAAGCAGTTGTGGGGAACCTTTTTCCTCTCAAGGGCCATTTCAATTTTTACAACATCCTCCGTGGGCCGTACAAATTATTGAACTCAACCTCTGCTTCAAAATACTATAATCACAGCCCATTAATTTCGCCTTTCTTTCATGCTGTGCAAAGAACCTCTTAATCCAGATATTTTACCATGAGTCATGCATGCACGTGCACGGTTTTGGCATGACCACCAAAACATAAAGATATGGACACAAGATGTGTGCACATTTATTTAGTTTCCTATCCATGTGAACATGATTTAAGTGGGGGGGGGGGGGCCTAACCTCCTCTAGGGGGGTCCGGGGGCATGCATCCCCAGGAAGATTTTTGTTTAAATGTTGAAGTTAGAAGCATCAATCTGGTGTACTTTGAGAGCAAAATTAGGAGCCGGAGCGGTGCTCTCCTTCAGCATTTGTCAGACGAGACATATACCACGTGATGACCTTTATATATACAGTCTATGGCAGGGGTGTCAAACTCAATTTCATCACGGGCCACATTAGCATTATGGTTGCACTCAAAGGGCCGGTTGTAACTATATAAATATACATATATATAAATATATAATATATATATAAAATAATGTATTATATTTAGGGCCGGGACTCGATTAAAAAAATGTATCTAATTAATTAGAGGCTTTGTAATTAATTAATCGAAATTAATCGCATTTTTAATCACATATAAATATTTGACCTGAGAACAGTGAGAAGCAATTTTTTTCACATGGATTTTAGTGTACCATTTACGGGAGTTTTACGGGGCGTGGTTTGCAATCCGCCCAGCCAATCAGACATATAGCTATTTTCTCACAAGAGAGCTGCACGAAAGTCCCTGCTCTCTCGCAGCTCTCTGCTCTCTAGCAGGGACTTTCGTGGGGGTAAAAAGGTTCTCATGAACTAATTTTAGTACCAGCTCTTTTTGGTGTGAACGCGATAAAAGAGGCTAACGTCCATGCTAGCTTCCACGCTAGCTGCTATATGTTTTGCATTGAGGTGATACTTGAGGCTTGATGTGCTGCAAATTCCTTTTTGCATAATTTGCACACAACCGTGCTCTTATCGACGCTTCCATCCGTCCGTTTTTTAAAACAACATTTCCCACTGTTGTTCACTGTGGTTTGTTGTTGTCTGAAGTCATGAACGTTAGTTGGTGCTCCAGTATAATCGGTACGCCTGAAACTCATCCAGTGAGAAACGTTCCGCGGTGCAAAAATAAGTGCGATTAAAATGCGTTAATTTTTTTAACGCGTTAATTTTTGTGTAATTAATTAATCTTAATTAACGCGTTAAAGTCCCGGCCCTAATTATATTATATTATTGCCTCTGAATTGGATTATTATCGGATAGGGTAATAACTAACTACGTTTTAAAGCAGAAGTCCAGGGCAAATAATTGCAAGTCTCTTCAGTGCGCATGTCACAAAACGAGATGCATTGTGGGACATGTAGTTTATGGGCAACATACTTACATGTAGTAAAGTGGCATGTAACCGTATTAATAAACGTATTATATTCTTTGAAAGCTCTTGCGGGCCACATTAAATGAAGTCGCGGGCCGGATTTGGCCCCCGGCCCCGGGCCTTGAGTTTGACACCCCTGGTCTATGGTGATGACACGTTAGGCTCGTGTTGTGTTCAAGGACCCAGACCTTGGCCAGGAAAAACAGGCGCTCCCTTGTTTAATTAATTTGTGATTTACATTTCTTTCATTTTTTTTTTTTTTGCGTGTGTTTATAAATTACCTCGGAGGCCGTATCAAATGGTCTCGCGGTCCGTATACGGCTCGGAGGCCAGAGGTTCCCCACCCCTGCTTTAAAGGGCCATCGTGCAGTATTTCGGGGAACAATACGCAGAAATGTAATAAAATATGTAGAACTATGTTTATATTAGTGTATAATATAAAGACAGGGGAAAGGGTCCTCATCATGGAGTCTGAATACATGTTGCACCACCATGTTCCTTCCTACATTGGTTTAGAAAGGCCAAATCAAATGCTCTCTAGACAGTGTATTTCACGCTTTAATGCTACCTGAAGTTGTTCTTTGACATGCTTGTAACACCAGCCGCCTCCTGAGATGTATTGGGTTAGTCTTTATTCAGTTTGGCTGCAATCTGCAACCAAAACACCAGATGTCGCCAAATCCAACACACTGCTCCTTTTAAATGACAAAATGTGCAATGAGTCAGCAAGTACCACTTATAAACTAAACCAAATATTTACTCACAGCACCTCAAAGTGAGACATTTCTAACTTCCATTTGACGTTTTTGCTTCTTCTCATATGTTGAGGCTTTAATATCCGACTCTCAAACTACTTTTTGTAATATTCCAACCCAGCACGTCTCCCACCCTCCTCCTGAGTTTCTGTTGTGTAACATAATCAGATTAACCCGAGAATAAACCTGAACTATTTCCAGTTATATGAAACAGTTTTCCCTCTGCTTTTCACTCCAGACCATGAGCGCTCACGAGCACAACGCCACGCTGGAATTGTTTGACCACTGCACCATCGACATGGTTTCTACCAGAGACTACCGGCGCATCGCCCTCTTCCTCATCTACCTTTTCATCTTCATGGTGGGCCTGCTGGAGAACGTGCTGGTCATCTGGGTCAACTGGCGCCGACGCCACTCTGCCAACGGGGTCCTGTTCTGCATCCTCAACCTGAGCCTGTCGGACCTCATAGTGATCGTGATCCTGCCGTTCTTCATGATGGAGGTGACCATGGACGATGTCTGGCTGTGGGGTTACTTCCTCTGCAAGGTGACCCACCTCGTCTACAAGGTCAACTCTTACAGCAGCTCCTTCTTCCTGGCCCTCATGACCGCGGAGCGTTATCTGTCCCTGACCAGGCCCTCGTTTCCCGCCTTCTTCCCCGTGCTGGGCCGTCGCCGTCCGGTGCTCTGTGGAGGCCTTTGGCTGCTCTTCTTGTTCCTGGCGCTGCTGGAGAACGTCCACATGGATCTTCTGGAAAGGAACGAGCCGGGCTGCTACTTTTTGCCAGAACACAACCACACCGAGTGGTTTGTCTCTGTGGGTTTCCTCTGCCTGGTCTTCCAGTTCTTGGGCCCCGCCGTCGTCATCATCACCTGCAACGTGCTGATCGCTCGTGCGGTTCGGACGGCGCCGGATGTTCAAGGCCGGCGGGACGTGTGGCTGGTTCACGTTTACTCCCTAGTGTTCGTCCTGTGCTGGTTGCCCTACCACTTCGTCGTGTTCCTGATGATCGTGGACATCATCGACCCCGACATCTTCAGCTGCAACACGGTGCAGGTGCTGTACTTCTCGTTCAGCGTGGTGCACTGCCTGTCTCTTTTTCACTGCGTGGCAAACCCCATCCTCTACAACTTCCTCAGCAAGAGCTTCCGAGACAACCTGGTCAACACCGTGCTGAGCCAGTTACCCAGAGATGGAGCTGGGAACCAACTGGGAGCCGGGACCAACGCTCCCAACGGAGGAGGGGGAGACCCGGGGAAGCAACGCAAGTTAAGTAACGCCAGTACCAGCCAGTCCGATGTTGGAACATGAATAAAAAAAACAGGTCGCATAGGGCGCAGTGCGGGCAGCTGAAGACGGGCAGAGACAGGTGGCAGATAGCTTGCACATCTTCCGGCGCAAACTGAAAACTCATCTCTTTCGACTCCACTTCGAGTGATAGAACTATTAACGAAGCACTTTTATACTAATAAAGGACTGGCTTATCTAAAGCCAGTTGAGTAGCACTTGAAATGTTTGGCTCTATGAAACCTGATGTACTTATATGATTCTGTTTTCTTCAAGGTTGTGTCTTCCTGGTCAAATGTACTTATTGTAAGTCGCTTTGGATAAAAGCGTCAGCTCAATGCAATATAATGTAATGTAGACTGCTACTAATTTTCCCTATATGCAACCTGAAGAGTAAAAGGGTCAAGTCTGCCAGAAAGCAATGACTGTAAGTGTAAGTGTACGCCTTACACTTACACTGTAAGGATTAGTAACATGTATTGTTGGAGATGTTTAAACACAATGAGAAAAATTCGTTAGCATTTATGCTATCATTTGCATTAGCATTCGCGCTATCGTTAGCATACACATTAGCATACATGCTAGTGTTAGCCATACTAGCCTGTATACATGCTTATTGCACAGCTAGCATTAGCTATATTTACCTTGTTTACACTTAGCGATCCCATGTGTTAATCTGTGTATGTTAGACTTGCATGTATGAGATCATTAAGTGCCTTGTAACTTCTTTTTTATAGTTTCACTCCGTTTGAATGTCAGTGGACTGCAAATAAGTCAATAAAGGAGCATGGCTGCTCATTCCCTGGCTCTCAAAAGAGTTTGGCTGGCTGTTTAATCTATGTTCACACTGAGACAGTACAACACAGAGAGAACAGTACACCTATTGTGTAAGTACAAGCAGGTCACACAGTATGAGTAACCCCCCTGCACAAAAAGCAATAGTATGAAGCTGCAGCGTCGGAGACGACACTTGTAGAACCACACACACAGGTCCCGCGTCACGAGCACACACACAGGTCCCGCGTCACGGCGGCACGTGACGGGAACCACACACACAGGTCTCGCGTCACGGGGTCCCACGTGACCCGCGTCACGTGACGGGAACCATATTCTGTTGCACGTTCACATGAATGTTTATATGTATATTCTGTTAATTTAGTTGAGAATTTCAAAAATGAATAAAAATGAATTTCAAAAATATAGTCTTTTATATGTAGGCCTATATTAAACAACACTGTTCATTTAGTTTTGGGTATGTTTATAATTCTCGTTTCATTATTATTCAAAAGAAAACAACACTGTTAAACACTGTTCCTTCTACAGTATCATAATTCTCGTTTCATTATTATTATTAATAAATCAAAGGTGTCTTCGAAGAGGTGCTAGATTACTGAAAAACAACTGTTAGTGTGTTCATGCACCAGCCTGCAAAAGATAAACAAGCAGTTTGACCGAGAGGCATTTCAGTTCAGAATACATTTTTATTTATTTTTATTGCGGGGTCTGCTGATTCTTCACTGGGGGTGAGGCGGGGTCTGCTGATTCTTCACTGGGGGTGAGGCGGGGTCTGCTGATTCTTCACTGGGGGTGAGGCGGGGTCTGCTGTTCCCTCTCTGGTCGTGGCACTCTGAATATTGGTTGAAGGGTTCCCTAAAATATGACATTTAGCACTTGTTGCTTGTATGGCTGTTCAATACAACAGAATAGTTGTTAACTTAAAAAAAAAAAAACATGATTCACATTACTCACACTATTACTGTAATTAGTGATTCAATTAATCAACTATGACACCTAGTTGGGCTTGCCAAAATCACGCTAGTTTCATTAAACAAATGATCAAATATGCTAACGAAGCTAATGCTTTTGCTAATGCTTTTGCCGAAAGCTATAGCTAATGAATAGTTGTTTTTAGAGACTTTAATACGGTTAGAAGCTATCATAAGCAAACAGATGTTTGTTTGTATTGCCTTAACACTATCATAGTTAATGTTGGCTAATCACACTTCATTTCAAGACACCGGAATTGTTATTAATGTTAAACAAATAAAACTGTAAAAGCACTTCACATTACTCACATTCTCTGCGTTGACGTTCACATTCATGTGAACGTGCCCCGTCACGTGCCGCCGTGACGCGGGACCTGTGAGTGTGCTCGTGACGCGGGACCTGTGTGTGTGGTTCTACAAGTGTCGTCTCCGACGCTGCAGCTTCATGCTACTCACAAAAAGGGCAGCAAATTGGACCCAGGCAACTACTGCCCTGTTTCTATACCAACCTGATCTCACCAGAATGCGTGACTCCACCACGACTCCTTAACACCGCATTGCGTGGTGGAGTCACGCATTCTGCTACATTTACGTGTCGGCAACACGCAAAAAACCCCAATGTAAAGTGAATGAGGCTCTTTTGTCGTGGTGCACACACGCATTTATACAACGTCCCGCAGTGAGCTTTTATTCTATAAAACGTTTTTAAAATATACTATATAGCTTGTAGTAACTCACGGGAGGCTTCTTTTATTTTATTTGTATTCATAATCATTTTTATTTTTCGTCAGAATGTAAAAATTACATTAGTTACGAATTTTTGTTCTCAAAAAACAATGCATTGTGTGTAATACAACTGTGATTTTTATTAAATTAGTTAGTTTTTAAGGAAGGCCAGAGGTTCAGCTGTGTCAAATAGATTGTTCCCTTTAGTTAACGTTATTTAAAAGATAATGATCATGTACCCTTTATTGTATTTCGAGCGTCCATTCCCATTGGATAACGGAGCATTTTACACCCGGAAGTAAGTATTCTCCTTGCTCTCGATTTTACAGTGATATCTGAACTACTCATCAACTCAAAAACACCAAATGTTCCTTGTTAATTACACAACATTGATTGGTTTAAATTGTGTACAATGCTTTTGTATTTTCCCCCTTCGATTCGGAGAAACGAATATTTTTTCGGAGTTTTTGGATGGCAGAAGACACTACTACCTAGAATCCTCAGCTATCGTTTGGGACTACACCATGTGCTTAGCTTGACAAGCCCCGTGTGCGCAAAGTTTACACCGAGCGTCAAAAAGCACCTTGAAATGGAATGAAACCCATCGACGGCACACTATTCAAAACAGGAAATCGAACGTGTCCTATCCCCCCCCCCCCCCCCCCCCCCCCCCTTAGGTCACAGGCTCCTCCAACAGTGCAACACAATAAAACAGATACACAGAAGAAATAGTGCAATAAGAGTCTATATACAAGTGATTGGAATCTTTTTTTATTTTTTGTAAACCTTTATTTAACCAGATAAAAGCATTGAGATACAATTTCATTTTCAATGCTGACCTGGCCAAGAAGGCAGCAACGTTACACATAACACATAACACACACATATAAAAGAGAACATAACTAAGAAAACAAAAGACAAAAAAGCAGTCACTACATTGTGAATATGATATATTAGATAAATAATTTCTAAGTAGCAGCCAGATGAATGTTATGGATGTTGTTTCTAAGTTCAGGTGTTTAATAGTCTTATGGCCTATGGGATGAAGCTGTCTCTGAGTCTGGTGGTTTTTAGTCCGGATGCTGCGGTACCCGCCTGCCAGACGGCAGCAGACAGAACAGTTTGTGGCTGGGGTGATGGGGGTCTTTTATAATCCTGAGGGCTTTCTTTAAGGTTAACGTGGTGTTTTTACTCCACTACATTTATTTTAGTTACTTTACAGATTTGGATTAATGATGTGAAATATAAACAACCCTTAAATCAGACTTTAGTTACACCTGAGTAAAATTCAGGGAAGGTGATTGTCAAGTGCCAACAATCAGGAGAGATATTTGATATTGGTGCTTGAGAAGACTAAACATTTATCTGCATATCCGTATAAAGCATATGCATTACTCGTTATTCTCTAATCGTTCATTAAAGACTGTATATAATTGATATTTTGCACATCACTTTCAAGATTTCAAGATTTTCTAAGGTTTATTGACATAATCATAACTACGGTGTAGTTAGGGTCACAGGTTCCTCAACAGTGCATTACATGACATCTATCAATATGTGTATACCTCCACCATTAAACTGTCATATTTTGCACATGTATTATTCTATCTAACATCTTATAAGAGTATAATAAATATGTATAATATTGGTTAAAATAAGTGCTTCAACATAGTTAACATTGCAGGAAAGTTGATTGTCAAGTTCCAAAACAAACCATGCAATATATTAGACGTTAAGTACTTTGTCAGGCTTAACATGTATCTGTAGATAGATACCCCCAAAGCTTTTTTCTTATTTAAAAGAAGACCTTAGCCTAAAGTATTCTTTAATGTTTAAATAAAGCCTTATTAGTTTGTCTGTTTTGCACATCCTCCTATCAGGCACTAAAGTGTTTTATTGTAGATATTATTTACAGTATCTTCTTGATATTTTCTATTCTATATTTATATCATTGACCTTCTACTTTCCCACTATTTTGTATGTACTCTTAATATTTAAATGTTTTCATCAACAGTGGTTTACAAAAATGAAAGACATTAAGAAAAAGGCATTTTAAACAGTCATTAAAAAGCAACATAATCTACCTGCATTGCAATTACTCCAAACTTGTAATAACGTGCTTTAACCAGTAGGAGGTGCGGGTTAAAAAGCTGTCAAGTTTACAGTGTTAACAAAATAAAATATACTGCTGTTTCTGGTTTAGTTTACGACGGAAAAGCGATGGAAAAACCCCACAGCAACACAGAAACTATGGTCTTAACATGACCCAGCAGTCGAGTAGTTAATAAAAAACAATAATATCAAAACAGATTATTACTACTAACTTTATTGTGAAATTAAAACAGAACCGTAAAAGAATAGTTTCCGGTCTATTCTGATGCCCGATCTCTGTAGATAAATAAAGAACTACGATAGATGTGCAATATTTAATGCGGCCAAACCATTTATTACAATGCATTCATGTGATGACTTTCAAAGAGTAAAGCAAGCACTGCTGAATAAAGTATGATTTAATCTTTTACGAAACGTTTTTTTTCATATGGAATGCAGTTGGAGAGGGTTAGGGTTACCAATCACAGAGCTTGAGGACTGATCACGGGGCTTGTCATGGCTAAGCACATGGTGTAGTCCCAAACGATAGCTGAGGATTCTGGGTAGTGTAGTGTCTTCTGCCAGCCAAAAACTCCGAAAAAATATTCGTTTCTCCAAATCGAAGTGGAAAAATACAAAAACATTGTACACAATTTAAACCAATCAATGTTGTGTAATTAACAAGGATAATTTGGTGTTTTGAGTTGATGAGTAGTGCAGATATCACTGTAAAATCGAGAGTAAGGAGAATACTTACTTCCGGGTGTAAAATTCTCCGTTATCCAATGGGAATGGACGCTCGTAATACAATAAAGGGGACATGATCATTATTTTTTAAGTAACGTTAACTAAAGGGAACAATCTATTTGACACAGCTGAAGCTCTGGCCTTCCTTAAAAACTAACTAATTTAATAAAAATCACAGTTGTATTACACACAATGCACTGTTTTTTGAGAACAAAAATTCGTAACTAATGTAATTTTTACATTCTGACGAAAAATAAAAATTATTATGAATACAAATAAAATAAAAGAAGCCTCCCGTGAGTTACTACAAGCTATATAGTATATTTTAAAAACGTTTTATAGAATAAAAGCTCACTGCGGGACGTTGTAGAAATGCGTGTGTGCACCATGACAAAAGAGCCTCATTCACTTTACATTGGGGTTTTTTGCGTGGTGCCGACACGTAAATGTAGCAGAATGCGTGACTCCACCACGCAATGCG